ACCCATTGCTGATGCTATCTGCCATACAGTGTTCTACGAACGGAGATGATTCTAGAAAGTTAGACGGAAGTTTATTCTAATCAATTCACGACTGGAAATAGCCCATTGCAGTACAGTGCCCAACAATAAAAAAAAAATCACCATATGATACCTTTCCTTTATAACCAGAAATTCGTCACGTGCTAGGCAGATACTGTCTCGTGTCAATGTAACTGGATTATTACGCCGACTTCAGGTTAAAATAGAAAATATTTATCTCTTCAAAATATTAATAAAATATGGAGACGTCTTTGCCCAAATTTTCTCGTGCTGCCCAAAAAATCTCAGTTGCCCAAAATTTGGGGGGGCTGCAGCCCCCCTCGCCCCCCCGGCCCGTACGCCTATGCTGGTATTTGCGAAACGAAAAACTGTTTGAATGCAGAGGTCCTCGCAACACGTAACTAAAACTGACTGGTTCCTCAGGGAAAGGGAAAAAAGTATCTTTTTAGTCAACAGAGTGACGTTTAAGCACTGAATTGGTGTTCTGAGTTTTTTTTGTGTCGCCCCATGTAAGAGAATCCATGACAGTCTTGGATTCTGGATTCCACCCTGTGGATTCCGGATTCCGAGTATTGGATTCCGGATTTCAGCTCAGTGGATTCCGGATTCCAAAAAGGGCTGGGTTCCAAATTTTTTTTTGTTTTAATGCTTTTCTTCGCATTTGGTTTTCGTGTTCGAATCTTGCTATATTGAAAGACGTTGTTTAGAATACATAACAAGTTTGTTTTCTTTTTCGATTTATAAATTACGTGAAGAAATGTATTACTGTTCCGTAAGGGTTTAAGGTATAATAATGAGGGGGACATTCTGGTACTGTCCACACCGCAACACCGCGGAAAAAAATAACAAAACATCGCATCACCGCAAAAAAACCTGGCGAAACACCAACATCGCAATTTTAAATTTTGTCCTTCGATTAATCTAGTCCAAATCTCCATATGATTAGGGATCTCGGATCTCGGAGCTGGTTTAGTGATTAGTAGAGAGTGAGACTGACCTCAAGACTCTATTTTTCACGGAATCTATTTTTGCGAACTCATGCAGATAGAAAAATGCTTAATTAGCAGAAACAAAAGAACTCTTGCAAATCATTCCTAAATATTCACGTTTATTCATTTGATTGCTACATAATAAAGTATTGGGAAAACATACAGTCATTGCCAGGGAAAATCGAGCTGCAATTTGCAAGAAAACGGCCTAACAAAGCTCGTGTGTAACTCCAAATCAATTTTTCCTATCTATGCCATATCATAAACCAGCGAAAGTTAATCAAGTCTTTGCTACCCACCAATAATATGATAGAAGGTTCATTTTGTTTGTATGTCTTTACATTCGTAGTTTTCCTTGTCCTGTCCGAACTCCTGGAACAGGCTACGTCGAATCAGTCTTGTTTGCAAATTCTTTTGGAACATTAAAACAGTCTTTCGAAGTAATATTATGTTTTAGGACATTGTTTTTCGTTCTTTTTCTACTTTTTATTGGAATCATTGTCATAGCGCAAAAAACTAAATTCGGTTACCGCTCTTTTCTAAAACTATTATTTATAGAGACACAGTAAGCTGTAGAACACGCGCATTAGATATCACTTTTTAACTGAATTGCTTTCACACTTTCTCATATGACTCGTAAGACACGAATTTTAGCCAAATACAAAAAAATACACTTCTCCTAGGACCGGATAAGCATATATACTCAGTAAAAGATTGACAATCAAAAAGAGCACAGAAGATTAAACTGATTAAATTGGACTTCAAGCTGACAAAAGTGGTGTCCCGGTCAGCGCGGCCCTAAAGTGACTAAAGTTGACTGTGTCACATAATTGTCTAAGAATGATAACATAGCACAAAATAAATTTCGGACAGTGGCCGGACCACGTTGATCTACTAAATAAATTTTTACGCTGTCTATGTCTTTGACTGGTCAAAACAAAGATAAAAAGTCAGTAACTCTTGACACTCTGCAAGCCCAAAACTGTCAGTGACTTGGTCTAGTTGTTGCTGAACCATTTAAATCGAGTTCAAAAAGTGGGTTATAGTAATAGACAAAACGGCTCAAAACGTAATCAAAGATAGCCTGATTTGCCCGCGTTCAGTCAAAACTGTAGTGCTGAACTTGTTTGTTCTTTATTGACTTACGCTACGCAAGCATCCTTACTGGACAGCATCCGAGAGCAAACCACCCCTTCCCCCCTCGCCCTAGAGGTCAATGAAATCCCTAATCTCGTACCCAGAGCTCTTGTCATGTCTTGTTGACGAAGCCAAAGGCGAGAAAGTGCCCCCCCCCCGGGATCTGGCCCCAGTTGTCGCGTTGAATTTGATGTTAAAAAGATAAAAAAGAACACAAAAATTAGCTGGTTCATACTTAAGATGTGCGCATAACCACGTTTTGATAGAAAAACTTCACGGCTCTATCAAATTCGTTGTTAAACACGTCAAAAATTGAGGATTAATTTCAAGCATACCCTCTTTCATGGCCTGTCACATTCTTGAAAGGCAATCACGGGTACAAAATCGGATTTGACCAGATCTCGCCTTTGTCTTCATCAATAATTAAGAGATCTGAGTGTGAGATTATGAAATCCCCCGCGAGTTTTATTTCATATTAATAGCGCGTTCTAGGTGGCTCTAGGATCCATTTCAAAGAAAAAAAATACGGGCTAAACCGATCTCAGATCGGTCTAATTTCCGAAAGCGACCTCAATGTGAACGAGGCCTAATCACAACTGTAGAACCAGAAAACGTGAAAAGTCCGTCTGATCCTCGATCGAGTCTGAGATGACTGATAGATCGAGAGAGACTTACGCGTTTCTGACACGTTGGCTCGTTTTGAGCGTTTAACAATGTAAACGATATTTTCCCCAACGACGACGTAAAATTTATATTACATTCAATTGTGATTGAGAAAAACATCAATCAGCGGGCTTAAAACAATAAACTTAACGTTTCTTTTGTTCAAGATTGTCACTTACTTGCCGCCACATTCAGTACAGTCCACAGATCGACACAAACGAAAAATCATGCAGCTTTGCCTTTGGCACGTTTAAATCTATCGCAGTCAGCTAAAAATTGGTATAGAATTTCACAACACAGTATTACAGGTACCTTTCTCTCTCAGCATTTTGTTTTTGCGTGTACTTTCCAATAACAGTAGAAAAGAAAAATCCAACAAAGAACAAACTTCAAACTGGTCTGATCGAAGAGGTGGCGAGATTTCACTCGAATGCCGGGGATGAATGAAAAAGGCACCCACCGCGTCCTTGCACGTGATTACTTTAGTGACAGCTGATTGGTACAGTTCTGACAGTTCCTGGCTTATTTCTCAAATAAAGATTATCGAAACCATGAAAATTAGGCACTAGGAGACTGTGAATTTCTTTTTTTTTCTTTTTAGCTAAACTGTTGAACGTAGACGTTTATTTTCATTTGTGAACCAGGAGACCCAGGAAGGTTCAAGAAAAGGTTCACCCCAGGTGCACCTTTTCCAGTCCTATGGTCAAAAAGTCAAAAATCGCTTTTGACCCCCAAAGTTCATTTTGTGATCCTCCCAGCCGCTCAAAAGCAAGGGTTCCCTCGCTATTATAGAATTTTAATTATGTGGCCGTGACCTCGACCTTTCATATGGACCTCGTGAACTATTGTTTTGACACCAGATATACCGATATTATGTCGTCACGTTCAGTGTGCCGTCACGCCACTGAACGTTATATAAACAGTCATTTTTCTGTTTCGTGATTATTTCCGCTTGAGACGTAGGTTAGTCATTTTAGAGATAGTATCTGTCGTAAATCCTTATTATTGGTCAATCTGTTACGCTCGGATTTCCTTTAGCAAAGTATAATAGTCATTGTCTTATTGACTCTCTAGTTAGTCACATCAACCCAGCCTATGTAAGTTCTTTCCTTTTTTACCTTATAAAAAGTAATTTCAACTTCGCTGGTTATGCTGCCCTATCTCGGCCAAGACCAAATATCGGTTGAGGTAGCGGAACAGTAAAAAAGGAAAGAACTTACATAGGCTGGGTTGATGTGAAAAAACTAGAGAGTCAATAAGACAATGACTATTATACTTTGCTAAAGGAAATCCGAGCGTAACAGATTGACCAATAATAAGGATTTACGACAGATACTATCTCTAAAATGACTAACCTACGTCTCAAGCGGAAATAATCACGAAACAGAAAAATGACTGTTTAAATAACGTTCAGTGGCGTGATAGGCTCGATTTCCGCCGTCTCCCGGGTCCGGTCTTGGATGAGTGCGGGCTCATTTTCCCGAACAGCGGCTGGTAATCGAGCCTAGTGGCGTGACGGCACATTCAGAACTATACCCTCGGGAGGATTTCCATAGACTAGCCTCCCCGCAGACGGCCTTTGGGGTTCGTTCGTCACGCATTCATTTCCCCCCCCACGGATGGTTTTTCTTACGAGCGAGTAGCTCAATTTAATCTGGGGTGGATCTTTAGTAAGTTGGATTCCGGATTCCAGTCTTTAGTAGGATTCCGAATTCTTAGTGCTGGACTCCGTATTCCAAAGCCCAGGATACCGGATTCCACGAGCAAAAAATTCCTGGATTCCGGAATCCGGATTCCCTTACATGGGGCGATTTGTGGGGACACCATATCATGCAGAATAATTTAGCTCATCTTACATGACGTGAACGCTGTTTCCAGTCAGCGGACGAGCCGGCAACTTCCCGGATATTAATCCACGTGACTCCCGAGTTTGTTGTTAAAATTTGGTGAAAGGACGCCTATTCTTCTCCCGTTTTAAAGGTATGACAGTCCATTTTGTAAGTCTGTCTTATACTTAGAACCTATATTAACACATTGGTTGAAATGGAGACTCTTTGAGTCGCTACGTTCTCGTTAAGTCGCTCACCTTGCTCGCCACAGTGCGGCATTCATCACTCAGACACTAAATGTGCGTGACTACTGTAGTTGTTTTTTCTATAGATTTTACAAAAAATGCGTCGAGGACGTGGTAGAGGAATGCGTGGAGGACCTGGTCGAATGCCACCCTACATGCGTGGCCCACCGGGGCAGAAGTTTGTAGTGAGCCATTCCACTTTTGATCCAGTTTTAGTAAGTTGTTTACAGGACTTCCGAGTCTATTCTTATTAAACTATTTGTGAGAAAAAGTTCGAAATTGCTGCATGTATAATAAATGTATGGGAATTATACGGAAATCTTACCGGTTTGTACCCTGGTCCCAGAGGTTTTTCTTGATTTTTCTTCTCGAAAGAGATCAAGAGCAAGCCGCAAAGGCGGTGACAACGAGTCGTGAAAGCGACGATGAGAGAGAGAAAAACCTCTGGTTACCTTGGCCTCGAATCTCACCTTCATGCGGACGACAGGGTCAAGATCTGATCCTCGGGCGTTGATTGGTTGATATTTTTTCAAACACGCTAACCAATTGGATTGGCTTGTTTAATTGTAACTACCGAGGGGACGCTGAGGATTTTCATACCTCATTTCCGAAGCTAGATTTTGCCTCTCTCTACCAGGGAAGGAAATTGTTTGTATACTGCACTCGCAATAACCTTTGTACGGGACCAAGGCACGTAAAGGCTTGCCATGTTTCGAGATTTTGACATGGATGTTGTTCCTGAAAGAATATTCAAAGAAATTTTGACCTCGGTACTTGATAAGCGCTGAGCAACAAAAGAAAGCTTTGTTAGCCGCCTTGAGTCGAAAGGATGTGTTCACCATTTTATCAACCGGACATGCAAAGTGTATAATATTTCAGTTGTTACCTGCTGTTTGCAAGTACCTTTCCTTAAGAGGATACTCATACTCTCGCCATGCAATAATTTTGGTTGCCTGTCCTCTCAAGTCTCTTGTGGACTCGTATATCCGCGAACTGCGAAACCGTGGCGTCTCAGCAACCAGTTTGAGCAGTCCAGACGTTGACGAACAGAATCTAATGACTCGATGTATTTACCATTTTCTGTTACAATACTGTCATGCCATTAAATAAACTGACTTGTTTAGGGTAGCAAAATATAAATCTCTGAATACGGAATGAAAGTTCTCTTGTAGGAAAAAAAACATACAACTTTGCTACAAGTAGGTAATCATTTTCGGAGCAGCTTGCATTTTCCTGCGACGCCCAATATTTATCTTTAAAGTTCTAACCAACGTTAATTTTGGCATTGGGTCAACAGAACAGAACAGATGACAATGTTTGTGAAAAATGCTTGTTATTATACCCAAAAACGTTGATTTTAGATCGGCCACTTATTTTTACATAAATTCTGCAAATCCTGCAGCAGTGGTTTGGAACAATGTTGGTTTCTTTATAAAGTGGTGTTCTTATTCCTGGACCGTTGTCGCCCATTGTTAACAGATGCTGTAGCTTGACCCCGGTTAACAAATCACTCTTTACCACCCAAGTGGAGATGGTTTGTTCATAATATAATTTCCCCAGGTCTACCCACGGTAAAAAAAAATAGTGGCTGATATGCATGTGTTTGCTAAATTGCCATTGGTCACTCTTTTTATTAGCAATTTGAAGCGTTTGACAGCTGTTATCTGTATGAAAGTGAGATTCGAGGCCAAGGTAACCAGAGGTTTTTCTCTCTCTCCTCGTCGATTTCGCGACTCGTTGTCGCTGCCTTCGCGACTCGTTGTCGCCGCCTTCGCGGCTTGCTCTTGATCTCTTTCGCGAAGAAAAATCAAGAAAAACCTCTGGGACCAGGGTAACCGGTTTGTGATATGCTGGTAATTTTTTCCTTTGAATGGTTCTTTTCGTGGTTTAAGCTTTGTAGAAGCTATTAGTAACTTTATTTCATAACCACTGTTACTCCTTTCATAGAATGAAGTGAAGGCTGGTCACTTCGATCTGTCGGGGTCCTGGACCAGTCGCAACAAGAATGCCGTTTTTTTCGCCGAAATTCAAATTCGCTGCAAATTTTTCAGCTCTGGTCTAAGAGGGGAACTTCTTCTACCTCTCTGGGAGATCGGCGTGGAAAAAGATCCATAATTTCCCCGTTAAATCGAGCCACTTGTGCCAGACTTCGTGGCACGTCTGCCTTTCGTCCAGTCCCTGTGACCACTGTTGCGCTTACCAACTAATTTGCATTATGACAATTAGCACTTACACGACGGGTGCCAGGTCAGAAATGACACGTCAACTAGGCTCTCGCAGTGTGAAAAAGCGAGTGCTTGCACCCGTCGTGTAAGTGCTAATTGTCATAATGCAAATTAGTTGGTACGCGCAACAGTGGTCACAGGGACTGGACGAAAGCCAGATGTGCCACGAAGTGCGGCACAAATGGCTTGATTTAATGGGGAAATTATGGATCTTTTTTTGAGCCGATCTCCCAGAGAGGAAGAAGAGGTTTCCCTCTTAGGCCGCAGCTGAAAAATTTGGAGCAGATTTGAATTTCGGCGAAAAAAAACGGCATTCTTGTTGCGACTGGTCCAGGATGCCGACAGATCGAAGTGACCAGCCTTCACTTCATTCTATGAAAGAAGTAACAGTGGTTACCCAATAAAGCCAAAAACACCAGTAAAATGACAAACAGATACCAAAATGCAGTGGAATACATTGCAGGTAAGTCTTTTGTATTCATTTCATTTAAGAAAAAGTAAGGTTTAGCGTTATTTAGCGTTCGCAGATCTCAGTAATATATTTCTCATACAAAGTCTCTTATATTTTCAACGGTCGCCTGAAACGCGACACCAGCTCGTCACCTATGTTATGTAAATTGCATTACACCCTTCCCTCATAAAGTGAGTTTGGGCGGCCTGTGTTGCCTTTGGCTTTAAACACAGGCAATCTGGGTACAAAGTTATCGACTACTCTTACTTTTTTTGTCATCGTATGTTGTGTTTGACTTTCTTTGTCTTCAAATATCTTCTTAGCATGTTTTGCACTCAAACATTTAAAGTTTATAGCACCGAAAGCGAGTTAATGTTCATCTCCACAAGAGGTGGCTGCTTGATGGCTTGACCTGATTTTTGCTCACTCAACATTATAATATTATAGTAATAATAACAATAATAATAATAATAAGAAGAAGAACAAGAATACTTTAATTATCTTGTCCCCTTGTAGGGCTTTTCAGGGATAATGAAACAATTAATAGTTTAAATGAAAGATAGCATGGTTAAAAATCCCAACTGATAGGTGACAAACCAGTTAGCTCTTTACAAGTGTGGCCGAGGATTTGAACTAGGGACTGCCAAGAACAAATTCAGCTAGCAGTCAGGGCAGGACTTGAACTCGGGGCCTCTGAATTACATTTTATACAAATCCAGTGCCCTAACCACTCTACCACACTCCCTCATCGCAATTGTTTTTAGAAGTAATGGAGTAGCTCTACAGTTGTAAAACTCCACCAAAAAATTCATACGTATTCTGTTTCTGAATAAGAATTGTGTCTGAAAATTGGGCAAAATTCTCTCAACTTTAAACAACTGCAGTGCAAACAGCTGAAGCCAACAGGCACCAGTGGCTTATTATTTTCTCACGTGAACCTTGGGTGACGGTTTGCCAGCAATCAAGATTTATTACATGTAAAGTGAGGCTACCATTGGGAGATTTCACTTTCTTTTAATTTGAAAAGTGAGAAAAGCTCAGGCACATGATGTTGGAGGTCTTGAATTTGATGATCAGAAACAAAACCAAACTTTTAGCATGTGAATTAACCATACTGGATCACTAACCTATCATTTACATAAGAATAAGGTTAGGGAGGGGAGGGTGTAAAAGAATGGAGGGGTTTAATAGATTTCTTTCCCTGAAAAAGAGGGCTTGTTAGAGAGGGTTCTTAATTGTGTGTTTATGATATCTCAAGTTGTATTGCTGCATTTGTTTTTCACATCTCTCAAACTTGCCTGTCATGTGCCATCAATGATCAAATTAGGTAGGGCCCTCCTTTAATTAAGTGCTCCCCCACTCAAATTATCCCCCTCCCCTTGAGGCTAAGAATATTAATTAAGCATAACCCCTCAATTAGGCTTGGTGTAGATATTAGGATCTAAACTAGGCTTAACTATGATTAAATGTTGTCATTGCACAGGCTGATAACTTTTTTCCAAGAACTACTCCTGCATCAGATGAAACATCATTTACACAGGTGAGAGTCACAGTTAGGTAGCTTCAACTTGTAAACCCGTTGCAGAGGTTGACAGCAATCCTTTCATACTTTCAGTCAAAAATTGCCTCACTGGTTTAATTGAGAACGTAAGCTTATCCATTTCTTGCTCTGTAAGAATAATTCAACAGTTGAGAGTGATTAGCCCGCGTCACACAGGAAACTAAACTCTGGTTAAGTTGAAACAGCGCCCCCACCTGTGTACAAGGATTTGAGTACACACAATGGTTGGTTAGTTAAAAAGTGATTGTTGTTTTGCCAATTAAGATGAAAGGAATTTCAAAATGCACTTCCAGTAATTTGTTGAGTCTGTTGGGGGCTCAGAACAAGGATATATTGGCGCAGCTTTGTGATGCAGGCTACGAGTGATAACATGTTTAGAATAGAATTAAATGCCCAGTGTCTCAGCATGATACATGTACACTGTACATTTCTCAGATTTGATGACTCATCTGAATTTGTTAGTCCAACCATTGTAAAATGTTTTGCACCCATGTAAGATGATGCTCATTTGAAGTTTGGATTTTCATCAAACATGGAGCCAGCATTTTTACATATGTTGGAGAGCAGAGATAAAAACACTTTTATCCTTGTGATAATAATATACACTTAATGTCAGATCCTGAGGGAAACCTTTAGTTTTGTTTCCCCGAGAGTCCTGATGTTTCCTGAGACGAAGTCAAGGGGAAACATCAGGACTTGAGGGAAAACAAAACTAACTGGTTTCCCAAGGGACCTGGCGTAAAGTGTTTTGTTATATTTCTAGACTTTCACCTCAACAGCAACAAAAGAATAACCTGAGCAAACCAAAACAGTGGACTCGGTACTTATAACAACATAAATTTAATTCTTAAAACCACTGAATGAATGATTTACAAAGTACTTTCCTTATATTATCTGCATCTTTTTCCTCCACTAGTAGCTGTTTCTCTTCTGGGATGACTTTAAAAATCGTTGCTTTTTAGCTTGAGGCTTCGTGTTTGTGTTCAAGTTGTTGTGTTCATTCACAAAAATGAAAACAGGCAGTGTTTTTCCTGCCTTCTGTCACCCCACTTTCTGCCATGCATTGATCATGTGCTGTAATGTAGCCTGAGTGGGATACATTGCTTAATGTGTTACGATTGGGGTACATTTAATTTTAGTCAAGGCCACGTGACCAAGAATCAGCCAATGGTAGTCCCTGTTTAGTTGAGTGAAAGTCTAGGAATATAACAATTTTTTCTTGTACAATGATGTTGGATTGTTTAGCCGAAATATTGAAATTGTACTGGGAAAGTGGTTCCTGGTTCCTTTCAAATATCTTTAGGAAATTTATTTCACAGCCAATCAAGCTTCATCATAGTAGTTACCCGTAGTAGTCAATCGATAAAAATCGGTTAAAATCAGTTGATTTATCAATCGATAAATCGATAAAAGTCAGTAAATTTGATTTGATTGATAATTATAGATTGTTTCGATCAATTGGTCGAAATTGATGACACACTCATTTCGTTTATCGATTTATCTAGATTTTACCGATTCCATCAATTTATATTGGAAGATACATCTTTTCTTCTGTTCATCCAAAAAGGAAACCTGATTTCATGCAAACAGTGAATTTGTTGACAATTGAATTGCAATTGAGAGTCGAAGGATCAAGCAATTAATTTATTATCACTTTTTCAAAAAAACTTTGAAAAGATCTCATGTTTTCTTCAAAACCCACTTTAAAGTCTTCGTCTGATGGCCGATATTGGCCAGGTTTTTCATGATTAAGATTTGCCACCCTTTAAAAATAACATCTCATTCAGTTCTGTGTGTAGTTACTTCTCGAAGTAGCCAATAGATAAAAATCAAAATCGATAAAAATCCTTAGGGATCAAGTGATTTTATCGATTGATAACAGAAAACGGTGAAAAGCTATCTGGGGAAATCTTTTAGCCTGAGTTTTAGGCATCCCTTCAAGCCTAGAGGATGTCTGAAATTCAGGCTGGGAAATCTTTTATGTAAGGTTGTATTTCACGTGGTACTTGCCTGTGAGAACTGCAAAAGTCATTAAACCAAACCGTTTTTGTTATAATGTACAAGAGGGTCACGGTTTTAGAGAGAATCTTGTGTCTGTAACAGTTTCCACAATTCTTCTTTTCATGTTTGTTGATCAGTTGTTACTTGTGGATAGGTTTTCTCCAATCAGCTGTACTATTTAACTTATGCCAAAAATAACAATCTCGGACTTACCATTATGAATCGTTAAAATCATGAAAAATTGATAATATGGATTTGACACAGCAATTTAATTTATTGATTCTCACCGATTTCCATTATCAATCGATAAAAATCACTTAATTGCTATTGATTTTTATTGATACCGATTTTTATCGATAATTGACTACTGTGGGTAGTTTCAATAATATTATGATAGTGATCATTAATGTCTGGTTCTCATTCTTGCGTCATAACAGGCTCTTTTGAAGAGAAACCAAGAATTAACTCCCACTGGGCAGGAACAGGTTAGTTGAGATTATTGTATGGCTGACTCTGCAAGCTGGCAAGAAGATGGAAAAAAATTATTATTGTAATTGTCAACATGGCAAATTGAATTTTCAATCGATCCTGATAACTCAAACCCCTGCTATCTTGAACTGTTTTTTTTTTGCTTCAGATTTTGTGCTACTGTACATTTAATGAACTTTAATTAAAGTATACAGCTGTCAAGGAATAGGAATAAAAACCCATCAGTGGACCCAAATAAATTGCATTGCCCCAGTTTGAATTAACTTCTAGGGTATTAATTAATTTAGAAAAATGATATGGAACTGCGTAGCTTCTTCACCAACTTTTAATGCTTTGATTTGATTGCTGGTCCATTTATCAGCTGTTAGGGGGAAGTGGCAGGTAACAATTTTCAAAGATATAAAAGCTAGTGTTATTAAGTGTAACTGTGTTTTCTTGCAGGGCTTTGTTCAAAATCTTGTCACTAAAATTACAACAATACTAGATACTCTGATTGTAACCCCAGATGCTGCTGAACTGGTAAGCAGATTCTAACAATAGAATGATTCATTGGCATAATTCAATAATATGAAGCAACATTTACAACTACCTGTCATGTATTGTATATAAGTTTTTGGATTTCCTTTCTTTCTCTATTATTTTTTTTTCCTTGGCTTATTAGCATAATTATTTTTGATAGAGATCTAACCAACCCATCAACCTGAGATTAAATACAGCTTCATTCATTCATCATTGGTTCAAAGTTGATTTACCAAGAATTTCTAGTAGAATGCCGAATTCTCCTTTCACTGCTATCTGATGTTCTTTGTAGTTGTCACATTGGTTTAAAAAAGGGTGAGACCCAGGTTATACATGTATTAGGCACAAAACAGAAAACTCTACCTTTCAAGCCAGAATTGTAATCCAGTTTTATTGAGTCATGTGTTTGGAAGAAAAAGGTGATACTTTTTAGTACTGCAAGGAAAACAGTACTGATACTGTCATTTTCTCCTTCTGCCAGCAGATTATAATATTATTAGTTTTTGTACTACATTTAGGTTCGATATTATTGTCTGTTTAAACAAGTTAAGCAGTTTTGCTTGGTAGCTAACAGGTATGAGAGACTTTCTTGTAAATTTATTTATATGAAAGTCTGTCATTATTGACCTGCACAGTGTACCTAATTCCTAACACCTTCATTCTCTCTGAAATGCCAGTGAGTAAAAGTGGATGCATCAACATTGGATGTACTGGATTTTTGATCCATTGAGGAAGATACTCTATTAGGGTTGGAATAATATACAACTATCCCCCGAAGGTGTATACGAGTGTATCTAGTGCTGTGAACCGACCCTGAGGGGGATAGTTTTTTAAATTAGTATTTACCAAATCAGTTGGACAGAAATCAAAAAGGAAGATTTTGTAAACAAACGACATCACTTATTAAGGGTTTGTTTACGCTTCAATTGACAGAGTTTCGGGGATGTTTTTTATGTTTTTGTTGCAACTTAGTAAGAAAGTTTTTTTCTACTGACCAGTAAACACTGACAAGCCAAATTTTGTCTCTTTCTTATTTTTTGTTGGTACAGCAATTATGTTTTCTGCAAAACAACACTCTGACTGTGGACACTGATGACCAGAAATTCAACTGCAGTAATGCCGATGGACATTCACAAACAGGCAATCGAAAAAAAAAAATGTCGGCAAGTTGAATTCGAAAGACAAGCCATAAGAACAAAGGCAATGAGAAGCGCCTTGAGACTTTGCTTACACACCGTCGATCGAACATTAAATTTTTAATATTTACACAAACTTCCTTTTATTGTGGATTTGACAGATATAAATGGATTGTTTTTTGGTTCAGCTAGTGAACTAACGACTTCTGTTATTTCATTGATGCAAAATCTCGTTCAAACATTTCTATTAACGTTTCAACGCAAAGTATCATTCAAGCCATGCGAATCAATGCAAATTTCCTGACGAGTTGTCAACTGTTACTATATCTTGAATTTGCATAGTTCAGGAATTTCTCGTGAGAATTTAACACTGAGTAGATTTTATTATTTTATAGAGTAGAACATTTTTTAGGGCATTGGGGCATTTAGGGCATTTTTTACAGCATTAATAGAAAACACCGTAAGGAGGGATTGTATCTAAAACTAGTAAGTGAGAATTGGGACAGTGTCTTAAACTTAAATGATGTCAAGGAGGCAGTGAATAATTTGGAAGCAAAAATTAAACACCACATGGATGAGTGTATGCCGTTGCGGTCAGTGCGCATGTCATTGCGTGATCCGGTGTGGATGACACCCTTAGTAAAATCGTTAATGAGGGTAAAGTCAAGAATAGCTCCAAGCAATATAGATCGGCTGGCTGAGATTAACAGGAAAATAAGCGAATTGATTAGTAAGAACAGAAGAACACTCGCAAAGGCACCTGTCGGATCCAGAGAATGGTGGAAGCACGTAGATAATTTGTCCCAACGACGCAGCATTTCTGCTAACATTACATTGGACACTAAATCACTGGAGGAGCTAAACGACTACTTTGCCGATTTGTGCACTGATGACGCATATATGAAGCCTGTACCAGCTATTGTGGATAAGAGCTTAGAAGCCCCTCAGATATCAGAAAGACACGTGTGGAATTGCTTACAACATCTGAAGAAAACCACACAATAAGTCACAATAAGCTAGCTCATACATACTAATCAGATACTAATGAGTTACGGGCACCAATCAGAATGTGCGAAACTTCCCTAGGGCTCTATACTGATTTGGTGAATACTAAGTTAAACTATTGGGTGTGATGAGACAGATTCCATGATGGTGGATGATGTTTGACCAATGTTTTAGATTTGTTCAAACAGGTTGTAAGTCTGTTCACCTACCTTCTTTACAGGGTTTGGAGGAGGTTCGTGCAGTAGGCTCATACAAAAAGGGAACAATGTTACTTGGCCACCCTGTAGCTGACTTGGCTGTTATTATCAAGAAACTTCCAACAGGTATGTGTCACTGTAGACATTGCTCATAGAAGTGTGAATGCTTGAATCTCGAGGTCTTACGTACAGTGCCCTCCAGCCGCATGATCCTCTATTGACACACATTAAATCACTGTCAGTGCATTCTTTTCAAAACCCTTTCCATTCCATACATGTAGGTCTCTTCTATGTGATAGCATAGATACAGAAGCAATAGCCAATTGAAAGAAAATGATTGATTCTGACAACAGAATGTGAGGATCACCAACCAATGCAGGGTTCTCCAGAAAATTTAAGTAAAAGGGAAAAAAGTTTAAAAAGGTACAATGGATAATATCTCAGTGTGGAGGACCATTCACTTGGGTGAGGGTATAAGGAACTGCCTCCTTTTTAGCAGTAGACCTGCACTGTTCTAAACCTCTTATTTCACTGCACTTCCATTGTTTTCAGGGATAGGGGCATTTTTTTGTGACAATCCCTATTGTTTTCCCAGCGAATCAAAAACAATCTTTGAAATAGGTATGAGATCACCCCTTTTTGGTGGGGAGTCGGGGGGTTACTCCCTTATAAGGGCTTAATGGGGATGTGCGGCCAGCCAGAGTATGTTTTTCGGGATTTTTGTCTCAAACAGGGTATCGATTTTATAATTTTTTGTCTTCATCAGGGTATCGATTTTATCAATTTTTGTCTTAAACAGGGTATCTTTTCTTGGACGATAAACAGCCTGCGCGTATGTTCTACGAACTAAACGACAGCAAAATTTTTACAAGATCTTTTTAATATTGACTTCTGTTGACTTTGGCATTGATACCAGGCATATTAAATTTCCATTAATTACACAACAAGAAAGCCACACAACTTGTAACTGCAACTTTTAATCTATTATAACAATAGCCTGGTAATCGATTGTTTATCAGTTTACAAAATAAAGGGTTTCCTGTTTCTCCCAAAAAAGGTGGGTGGTAAACTTTAATTAGCAAGAATAACTTTAATACCAAAATTACCAGTCTTAATAAACTGTTATGAGCGTTTTTCACTAGACTCATGGATCTAGACTGAGTCCTTGTAACAACTCGTGTATACTAAAATGAAATAGAAATCAAACAAAAACGAAGTGAACGTGTACATAATTCGTGTCATTTCCTGTACGTGACCAGCCAACTGCAAGCTGTCATTTCTACATCGTGTCACAAGGTAGCTAATGTAGCTCCATGTGGAAACTCAGTTCCCCTCAAAGCTCTTTTTATCTCCATGGCTTTGTGCCGCGACTTTTTGATCGTATATACTAGGTACTTAGCTTAAAGAGCTCCTTGTGACTCTCTTGATCAAGCTGTAAATAGTTTTGTGATTGCCAGTGGATTAAATAAGAAAGAGTTTTGATATTTATTATCGTCTTACACAGGGTGTGGTTTCGGGTTAAATTTCTTAAGCAGGGTATCAAAAATCGGAATTCTGTCTTAAACAGGGAAAGAAAATCAGCAATTTTTGTCTTAAACAGGTCCAGGGTATGAGGGGCTGGGCCACACCTCCCCACCCAAGGATATATCAAGTACCCCCCGGGGGGGAGTCTGGGGGCTTTTGCCTTCAATATTATTGTAAGGCACTGAAACCTGCTTATTTTCAGCACATTTTGAGTGACTAGAGAAAGGTCTTGAAATAAAATGAAATGATGGCTAATCTTCAGAGTTTGGTCATCAGTATGGAAATTTAGGCAAGTTGGCACCTGTGTTTTGCCAAATGATATGATGGAGTTACAGCTGACTGTATCCTATTAAATAATTTTTTTGTGAGTAGCAGGCATTTCCTTGAGGACCAGCTAGTGATTTTGCTTGCTGGTCACCAGAGTTGCTGGAGAACTCTATCACTAACCATCCATAGTGGCTTGATCATAGTGGCTTTTAGTAAAAACAATTTGCAATTTCTTAAAAATTTTAAAAATCATGATAAGGTATACGCATAACACAGCTGTAACCAAGTATAGTACGCAATATCTATTCCTACATCCATGAACTTCATTGTATGATTGTTGATGTATTTTTTATTGTTATGTGCCTTATTTTGTATTTTACAGAAAGCCTTATTCTTGAACTGGCCACAAGAGTGCAGAAGACTTTAAAGGAGCAGGAAGGTTTAGCAGGTGGCTTTAAATTTTCGTTTTGGGTACAAAAAATATGGGCTCTATTCTAACCGGCTTGATTGATTTTTATTCTTCTCTGATTCTTTACCATAACCTTAGACAAAAAAATTATTTTGGCATCTAAAAAAAGATTATGTATATCCTGTAAACTTTTTCTGCATAACAACGGGAAAAAGAAAAGTTGTGTAGACTGATCCAGCGGCCTCCATTTTAAGAGCCTTACCCCCCATACCTCGCTCCTCCTTAATGAGCTGGTGGTTGGAAGGTGACAAATGCCATTAACTTTTATGCCAGATTCTCCTCTGTAACAGGTGCTGAAAAAGTTTAGCATGTTTGAATTTTTGTAGATTGCTATTGTAAAAAGCTGTAGAATGTTAATGCTATGAAAACTTATGCTGGTTTACATATTGCCTTTTAAAATGTGGATCAACTTTATTCTTTTTTCAAATCTTATTTTTGTTTTGCTTCAAACTTGTTATCATATTTTACCATCGCCATAAACAAAGAAAAATTAAATGATTATCTTTAGTAAGGAAAAATTGTATCTACTTATATTTTTTGTAGTACCAGAAACTCATAAAGGGTTGAAATGTGTATCTCACGTTAAGTGCTTTTGCTGCTTGCATATTCATTTTTCTAAGTACCATTATTGAAAACTCTGGCTGCAGCCTCAAAAAAGTAATAATAGCACATGCATCACGCTTTTTTGTACAATTCATTTTTTTCCCTGCAAGACTACAATAATAAAGGTCTAGTTTCACGTTTTGTGGAACGTGAAAACGCAAGACAGCGACTTTGGTTTTCTTTGCCTAAACTTAGATAGAGTCTTCAGAATTCAAATCCAGAAAAATTTGCTATTATTTGACAACGAGATGGAATAAGTGCGATAAACATGAAGTAGCGCGAATTAAATTTTTAAGTGACGTCGTTGCTGTTGCTTAAGCTCCTTTTTTTTTAGGGAATGTGGCAAGGTGGAGTAAAATTATTCCACGTTGTTTACAAAGTTTGATTGGTCAGTTATCTTTTCTTCACATTTGAAATATTGTACATATGTACGTGTGAAAATGAATATTCACCAGCTTCAGTCAAAGCAAACATATGAGAATAACATGTTTCAACCCCTTATGAGTTTCTGGTAGTACTTGTTATAATGAGATTAATGTGAAATCCTCCTTTTTCAGATTTTCCCATGCAATCAAATGAGGGAGGTAACATACATTCCTTCTTTTCATTTTTTTAAATTGTGTCAAATTTTTGTGTTGTCTAGAATCATTGTCCTTACATTAACAAAAATCAATAGCTGAAGACGGCAATCTTCTTCATGTTTTGTTGGTCATTTGTTAGGTTTTAATATAAGCAGTCCTGATGGTGCACTTGTTCGTGTGTTGCTTACAACACTTCCCAAGAATCTCCAAGAGGCTGATCCAGCTAAACATGGTAAGGAAACTCAACACAATTGCTTCTAATCCTTTGCTATGATTATTATTATTGTCAAATCCTTTACAAGCTAAAAGTTATTGCAGGAGCAATGAATTTGCTGTTTGACTGGTTAGCAACAGCTTAGGGCAGAGTTCAGTAAAGTTAATGATTTTCCTATGACATCCTTAATAATGTAATAGAGTTTTAGTGGAACAAAGGTTTAATGTATCTAATGTAGGTTACAACATTGTATATTTTACAGTTGATGTGAAGCTCCTTGAAGGAGCATTAGCCACAATAAGACATGCTCGCTGGTTCGAGGAAAATGCTTTTCATACAAGGTAGGTTGGTAGTAAATTATACTGATGGACTTGATGGATTTGGTTAAATAGTTTCATACTACTTTTGAACATGTTGTTGCCTAATTTTTCAGTACCCGTCTGTTAGTGAGACTTTTCAAGGATCTTAGAAAACGTTTTACAGGATTTCAAGGGCTGACACCATGGTTAATAGACCTACTGGCAAGTATTTTATTCATATTTAATAATATTTATTGGTTGTAATAAAGTTTTTCTTTTTGAGTGCGCTGCATGTAGATTTCTTGGACCATTGCTCCTGGCAAGCTGATCAGCATCTCTGGGTCTAGGAACCAAGCACACCATAAATAATTATATTCATTTGTATTTTCTGGTGTGTTAAACTTTGAGCTGACCAAGTCAGTCACACCAATGCCTTTTTCCCACTGACATTCAAAACATTTTAATCAGTGTGCACAGTGTACCAAGTTGAAAACTATTAATATATGTAAAAAATTGTTATTGTCTTATAATCCCTCAAAAATATATATATTTATACTAGGGGTACCTTCCGGCAAGTGCCAACGAGGCGAATTCGTTTATCTTTTGTGAAATGTGCCTATTCAGATCTTCGCGATATTTTTTTTTTCATAATTTTAGAGGTTTACAATGGATTCCGCTATAGAAAAGGATGGCACCAAACTTCAAAACAACAACTTTTGCACACTCTAGGCTGTCACTTTTATTAAACAATAACAACATGGCTTGAAGCTTTGTTGGTAAATATGAGTAAGTTAGCACTTGAGTTTCATGGAAAATTCCATTGGATCAAAACTATAAACGTTAGAAAGGAAAATATAGTTCAAATGAGGCCTTTGACTGCTGAAATTAAAAATAATAATTAAATTCCAAGCAACAGCGTCATCAGGAATAAGAAAAATATTTCGCAGAATGTATCAGGGGTATAAAAATATAAACTTAAATAAAATACAAAGATCTACTGAGCGAGTGTCACAGGTCAAAGATTCTCTTGAAAGGCATAATGATAGTATTCAAAACAAAAGGTTTGCACTTTGTTGCATTCCTCATGGGAGTTTTGGGCTGTCTCAATGTAAATCAAAAAACATGCTGGTTGACAAAATCTAAAGAATAAAATAAAGAATAAATTCTAAAAAAGGTCCGCAAATACGTTGAGGACTGGATCAATGTAAATAGATCTGCGAAGAACACGCTGGTTCTGATTAAGTTTTGAGAATATAACCCTATACCAAAATTCAATTCACAAAGCAAAAGACAACACGGAAAACCCTGGTTCTGAGTTGAGAAGGGAACGCACTACCTTATTGTAAATCAAGCTGCAAAGAATAAGCTGGTTCTGACAAAAATTTGAGCGTAAAACCCTATTCTTTGATCAGCTGCTGCGTTAAACACAATTTATAAAGCAAACCAGAGCACTAATTGCCCTTTCAAACTAGAAATCATATTAGAGCTTGCTCACCTGTTAGGTCCTCTTGAACAGACAATGAACAGCTGCCCACTGAATCACCCAATTTCGGACCACGAGTTATAAATACAAGACCATGACGTCACTACGCAAATATGGGGTCTTACTTACACCCAAATATGGTCAAAAATGCAAATTTTAGAGGGTTACGCGGAATTTGAGAGTTTTTGCCTACATCGTGCGGGACCATAAATCTGCCGCCGAGGCAACTTCGCTTCTTAGCTCGGTTGCCTCGTTGGCAATAATCATACACTGTACATGTAGCAATCAGCTCTATACATTCCTTCTTCTTAGTCTAGTATGTTATTATTCATAGAAGATAATTCCATTTTAGATTAGCTACAGTAAAAGTGATAAACTGTTTGTGAATAATTCTATTTGATAGGCCCACCGTGCAGCCATGGTTAATTCATCACGGCAACCTCTTCCAGTCAATGTTGCCTTCAGGTGAGAATTTCACTAATAATGCTATTAATTAGAGTGATAATTATAGATGTACTTCTGCCTTGATCATGACAATACAGGGAGCTATACTCTTTGCTGCTTATTTGTGGTAGCAAATTATATTAACTACTGGTATTCTAAAAAACGTTGTTTGTTTTATGACAGGCGTGCTTTGCAGCTTCTCTCATCTGGACTGTTTTTGCCTGGTTCATTGGGTATCATTGACCCATGTGAGGTAAAAGAATAGTTTATCTCACAAACTGCTATGTGACCCGAGTCTCTAAAAGGTGTCCGACTAACAAATTTTATTTATTTATTTATTTATTTATTTACCAGCTTTCTGGACACAGGCCTGCCCAGAAGGAATGTGCACGAACGGGACTCATAGTTCCCATGCAAGGTGCCATCCCTGCCCAATCCCACAACCCGTTAGGTCTATGACCTAACGGGTTGACCGAATAGTGATGCAGGTTCTTTTACATCCCACAAGAACAAATCAGTGAAAGTGCTGCGAGACAGCACCTACGGTTTTTCGTCCTTATCTGAGAAGACTAGAAAGTCGAACCATTTGCAGATGCCATCTCAGTTATTTAAAGACCCTGAGTGTTGGTTTGGCTGGGGTTTCAAACCCGCAACCTCCCGCTCGGCAGACCGGCGCTCTCCCAACTGAGCTAATAAGGCGGCGGTCAAATAATATATTGGTCCAATAATAACAAGTAAATAGAAACAGGGCAAATACTAGCATGAACGAGACCAAATACTAGCATGAAAGAGACCAATGGGGAATAGCATGAATGAGACACGTGACCCATGTTCAGTGGAACCCTGTTAATATGGTCACCAATGGGCCAAGAAAAATTGGCGGTATTAATAGGGTGGCCATATTAACAAGGGTTTTTTTTACAAGAAAATGTATGGCAGTTTTTGCCTGGTGGCCAGTAAAAGGGGCCGTAATAACGACGTGGCGGTAAGGCGGGGTTCCACTGTAGTTCTATGGCATTTAGTCAACTAATTAGAAGACAAAGCAAGTAATCAAAGTGGTTGCCACTCTGTGAATTCACTGGTCATCCCATTGATTGCTTGTTGTGTGAATCTCAATAATTGGCATACGGGTATGCTTAACATACCCACATACCAGACGTATCCAAAGACAACTTTGAAATAGAAGGGCAGTGTGAGTGCTGTTCTTCATTTCACTTGTAGGTAAAACTGATAATACTAGAGTCAAACCTCCACTAACAGCCACCTCTCCACATTGGCCCCCTTTTTTGTCCCGGTGGACAGTTCATACATTAACCCTTATTTAAACCTCTCTACAACGGCCTCTAAAGTGTGTCCCCAAATGCTAAAATAGCCTCTTGGCAATGACCAGTTTTTTCAGAATTGATCTGTATGGTGAGTTGATTATTAATCGCAGCAGTCATATTTTGATGTCCCATTTATACTGCTGCAGTAAAAATAAATTGTCTACAATACTAAAGAGACTGTTGCGAACCTTGCTCATTAATTTTTGTCATGTTTAAGTTTCTTTGGTATTTTCTCTATATATAATATTTACGATTGGATTACCATTATGGGATACAGTAAGCATGAACTTGACTCATAAATCATATTGTACTCCCCCCCAAAATTGTCATATTACACCCCATCCTCCCCATAACGGCCACCTCTACACAATGACCACTTTGTTCTGTCTCCAAGATGGCCATGGTGGAGAGGTTTGACTGTATTTTGAAGCGTAATTACATACCATTAGTTCATTTTTGAGCTCACTGGTCACTTTTGGGTGTGTGGTCAGGTCTGTATCAGTACTGTCTGCAGACACTCCTCACAGCCTTAAACATTTTCTTTTCTTGTTTTCATTTTAGTCTGGGAATGTTCGTGCTCACAGTGTGTTGAGTTTGGAGGAGCAGGTAAAGATGTACATTAAAATGCGGTCCATGACAGTTCTACAAAGCGACCAGAACTTTATTTGTTTTTATTTCATATAAAACTGAAACTGTTTGAGCTCATACCTCTCAACAATAATGTGAAGAATTATTCTCGCTTGCGCCTGTCTATCACATGAATAGTCAAGCGTGTTCAGCGTTGTCATTAAGAGTCGGGGGCCGGGGATTTTCCCCGGTTACTAAGAGAGTGGCCCCCGGCTACTTTTATTGGAAAATAGAAGAAAAATAGAACCAAAAGAAATCCCTAGCCGTTTGATTCCCCGCCTACTTGTTGTATTTACCCGGCAATCTTAGTGAGAACCCTGCGTGTTTAGCTTTAGCAGGTGTTAATCCACAGACTAATGTGCTGCTATGTATTCATTTTAGGATGCTATATGCACATGTGCTCAAACTCTACTGCGATGCTTGAATCATGGAGCATTTAATGAGATTTTGTCACTGGTAGGAACATTGTTTACTAGTAGTTTTGTTGCTAATAACATCAGTAATATGTGGGCACTTTGTCAATTAAAAAAAACTTTAAGTCTGCTCCGAATTAAAGTTTGTGAGTAAAGTACTGAAGCTTCACGGCTGTGGCTTTTTGGCGTGGTGCTGCCAGTTTATTCAAGACCATGCCCTTTTTTAATGAGTTAAGGTATGGGTAAAACGGGCAGCAAAAATGTGCAACATGGCATTTCAACTTGTCTTACAGCATTGTTGCAAAACAAGTTGTACGTTTTTGTTGCCTGCTTTGTCACCTTTATAGAAAGGAGGTGAGTACGCATTAATTTGCGATGACCGAGCATTTAACTTTTTGAACTTCGGGTCTGTTGGTCCGGGTCAAGCCTCGCCGTCGTGTTGTGCCTTTGCTCCACTGTGTCTCTCTTCACTCAGGTATATAAATGGGTATGGGCGACATACTCCTTGGGGTTAACCCTGCGATGATGAACTAGTATCCTATCCCAGGGGCCCTACTCTTTGGAGCCTCATGCTATAGAGAGTACAGAGTAACCTTTGTTTTGTGTGGGCCTTATGCTTCATGCATAGACTGCGAGCAGTCTCTTATGTTTCTCTGCAAAGTTACTCCATGCTTTTGTTTACTACAGGAGTCCACAGTGCTTTCTTTCTCATCTCGTCATATTAAATCCGTTATTGTAACGCCGTTGTTTGCAATCGCACTAGCTGGGATAAGAACTGGGCGGATTTTAAGGGAAGTGGCGGACTATAAGTAGTCTACACCATGCGTGGCGAGTAATTGGACATGTTATGTTTTAATCAAGAAAAACTCTGGTGTTTAGTCTGGTGTCGGATTATTTTTGTTGCTGGAGGCAGTTGTCGTTAGGTTAACACCTAAATCAGTGAGCAGCCGAACCAGACTTGTCTTCAGTGTGTAAGAGCCACCAGGGCAAATGATGTTTTAATTGATATAATAATAGCATATTTGTGTTTTTGTTTCTATTAGGGGCAGGAAGGAATTCCTAAAGTCGGTAGGTGCTCGTCTTGTTATAGTAACTTGTTCCGGAAGTTTTGTTCGCGGGGAATAATGAGGTGGAGGTTGTGTTTGCCAAAGAGACTAACGAGAGAGGAGAACAAGAGAGATACTTTATCTCTCAAAGGGTTTTCCTTCACCTGCCCACATGGTTCTCTTCTTTCCAGTCTATAAAATCGCGGCATTGTCTTTGGGTTTCCGTTACTCTCACACTCTTACCACCAAAACTTGTAGAAGGTTCTTGTGATAGACTTTGTTGTAAGTTTAAGCACGCCTTCTCCTCCTTTGCTTTCCTTCAAGTAGTTTTGCGGAACTCCCCTCAGATCTTTAGTAGAAGACTTAAATGGGATGATGGCGGCTATCGCGAATGGTTGCCCCACTTTACCGTCTCCCCATTCTGTTTGCTTGCAATAGTAATCCTTTGTGTTTTTGCAACTACTTCACAACTGTTCACTAAGTAGCCACATGACTATTCTGTCGTGCGAAACAAACCACAGAGAAGCAAAGCTGCCTGATGGGCTACAAGTCTAGGTAACTGTATTTTCCGGTGTAGGAGTCGACCTTTAAAGTTACTTAAAAAAATCAACCTTGATTTTTTCACCAACCGCAAAAAGCCGAGTAAAATAACTATGACTTCATCGGCATAACACAAGACTAAAGTGAAAACATGGAAAACCATCTACAAAAATAGCATGGAAGATAAAATGTAATAATAATGTACTAAACTTTCTCAAAGCTCGTCTCTGGTTTCTACTTAGGTCGCTCGCTCTCCTTTGCTTCGTGAGCGTCCCTCGCGCCTTCGCCGCTCTGGCGGTCGACTCGTGGGAGGTCTAATAATATACTTACTTAGGTTATTTTGTTCTCACAGCCGTAGACACTGAGGTAACCAGCTGGGGAGGGGTGATTGTAACACCTGGACAAAAAGCTTATGAAAAACAGCATGACCAAGAAGACGAAGAGGGAGAGGGTGAGGGAGACGACGATGAGGAAGAGTCAGCGGAGATGTCGAGCCAAGAACAGGCTGAGGAAAAGATGGAAACAAACCAGGAAAGCTGATTACTGTGTTTTGTAAGTAACTTGTTGGTCGTAGCTTGATTACCCTGCGGGGGCCTTGGCCATTTCCAGAATTGCTATTAACCTTTTGATGACAGCGAGTAGAGAGCTATATTTTCATGTTGTTTACATGTAACTGAAGACTTAGGCTCTGTTCACTTAGTTGAAAACGAGCAATTAGAACCTTACATTGTCCTTATATTCTCCCAGCACCCCTCCCGAACACCTATTGAGGTAACAAAGTTGCTCCGACAAGCACTTAGACGTCCTGGACTAAATCACAACGTTGTTGTTTTTTTAGTCGTTTGTCGCTTCTAATTTATCGATTCGAGATCGGCAGAGAACATTTGACCTCGCCTTTAAAACAGCTCGAGTTAGTTGTGAAATGAAAAGAATGCGTCTGTCCGCTCTCAGTTTTAAGCGGAATCCTTTTGTCATTGTTTCTAAGATCTCCTGGTGATTAATATTCTACACGAGGTCAGGAAACGGGCGTTTTCAAAATCGTAACTTGGGACAGCTTTCATGAAAAAGCAAGTTTTGATAAATACAGCCTAAACCGTGTATCTAAGATACCAATGCCAGTGAATAATGAGGACGCTCACTTGAAAACACAAAATCTGGGGGGGAAATTGGTTATGTTTGAGTCCCTATTTAAAAGCCTTCCCTGTTTTCAATGTTCTTGAAACTTGCAGAGAATATTTCTTGACGATTGATCTCGGGATTGTCGAATTTATAAAAAAATTTATCGAGCGGTTTTTGGAAAAATGCGAAATTTGTAGCCATGGACCAAATTACCCCCAAAAACTGTATCAAAAGCAGCTGAATGCAAGTTAATAAAATTCTTCTTACTCGCGATCGCCCAGAGCAATTCCCCTCTTTTTTTGTATGCAGTTTTCAATGGAATCAAACCACTATGAGATGAAGCCGCGTTCCCAAAGCTTATCATTTTCTTAAAATATTAGCGAATTGTGCGGCTAGCATGCTATTTCACTGCTTTGATGATTCTTAAAACTGCATTTCGAAATATCTCGAAAACGCTGTCATAGAATTTCTTCAAACTTTGCCATAATTGAGGCAATTATGGCAGGTACATACTCCCTTAAGCGATTTCTTCAAAAAACTCTTGGTACAGAGAAACACAAGGATAAATGAAAAACGTAATGGCGTCATTACGTTGCCATGGCGACTCCGATGGCAATAAAACCCAGATCATAAGAAATTTTAATCTTCATATAATACAGTTGTGGTAACTTTTTTTTCATATCTTTACTCATGCCGACGTAGTTAATGCTCAAACTTGGGAGGTATCAACCCCAAAAAATCCAGTCGAGCCACCTTAATCCGAACTGTTTTTGTTTTGATTGACCTTAAAACTGAACGTTTGACATGATTATCCATTGCGCAAAAAGCACGTGTTTCGTTCGTAGGATATATTTGCATGTGTCAGCGGTGTTTATTACATAACAGAGGAGTCTGGGATGGAGTAAAACATCGAAACGAAAAAGAACGAGAAAAGACCAATTAAACATACACCGTCTTTCTAGTTCGAGTTCGTAAGTATAGTCGTAAGCAAGTTAGTCGCTCTGTACTTTGGGTTTTATGGCGCACAGGTGCGATTACATATGAATGTTTGGGCGCACAACCAAAAATTCAGTCGCATATGCGACCAGTTAGTCGTTAACTTTGAGCCCTGATATGTGTCATATATCTCTACTCATTTTCTTAGGATCTGAGAGCTATTGCCTCTCAGAAACAGCAACAGGGTATTTTGTTCCTTAAAGTAGCAAGAACCTTTGTAAGAACCCAAGCATACATCCTCAGTAGATACTCAATAAGCCTTTTTAAGCTGTCTCGTTGCGTAGATACAGATAGCCTTGCTTTCTTCCCCTGCCCCAGAGAACTCACTGGTAGGCTATTTTATACTTAACTTGTATATGAGAGGCCGGAATCTTGTTTTATAGCATGCAGACTTGGCACTGTTAAGTTTGCTAAATGCGACTCTTGGCACTGCAGAACTGTAGTTTCTTCGTTTTACCTCTAAATATTAGGGTTCCTCTTCATCGACAAGTTAATTAATGTGCTGTTTCTTTTTTTTATTAAGATCTTATCATGGACTATGAGGAGCATTACTGTCATGCAAGATATTTCTATGTAAATTATTGTTTTTAGTTCATTCAGTGCAGCAACGTGTAAAGTAAATCTTGTAGCATTAAACTTCTTTTTTCAGTTTACAGCTGGCCCTTTTTGTGGGGACAGTGTTTTCTTTCTGAAAAATTCATCCTTTGCCGACACTTGTAAACCCGCCTGTTTAGTTCATAGGGAAATCCATCAGTTACTGACACCTCGCTAATATGCATGTGCACCTTTATTATTTGTCCCAAAGGCATCAAACTTAATTCTTGCCCAACCTTAGAATTTTTTTTTTTACCTTTGGTGTCTGTACAAAGCAGGCTGGCTCACCCACGAACCTTTTTATTTCAAACAAAAGACAATTTATTATTCATATTGTTATTTCTATACAATTTTAATGTTTTCAACAAGTTCACACAAGTCCAAGGAGGGATCCCATGGATGGTCCTGTTTCTTAGCAAGTTTTTGTAGTTCATCCACTAAGTTTCGAAATACAATCTTCAATGTTTCCCAAGACCCGTGGTTTGATTTATCAGGCTGGTATCTCGGCTGTGGTAGAGCAATCACTATTTCATTCACTTCTCCTTCAATGTGGATGCTGTAAAGTTCGGGGAATACACTGTGAAGGTCGCTGAGAACTTCGCCTCTAAGAGAAGTATTGCGGCAAACAAGGTTGAGAAGAAATACGCCTGAAATAAAAGCGAACCGTTGGCGTTATCTCGAAAATTAAACACAAAATAAACATTAAGTAAGCTAAGTGTACTGTGTCCAAGCGTGTAACTTAAGCCCCGTTAATATGGAGAAAACTTGTCCCGGGTGGAAGGGTCACCCGCCTACCCGAACCGTTTTCACGAGAAACAAAACGAAGACGTTACCTCGGCTAGAATGGTGACCCGCCTAGCCAGGTCACCCTTTTAGCCGGGCCAGATTTCCTCCATATAAACACTTTGGCTCTCCCAGCGGGGTCAATTCGGTCGAGGCGACAGAATCGGAGCATGGGAGAGCGCTGTTAACAGCTCTTGGCTCAGGCAAAGGGGTCAAGGCTCGCTAAAGTTGACCCGACTGGGAGGGTGACCCTCTTTCGCGTGACAACTTTTCTCCATATAAACATGGTCTCAGTACGCTTTCTTCAGCAGGTTACTGTTTTGTCGTACCTGTTGGAGTAAGGAGAGAATGAACTCGAGTGAGAAATGCTTTGTCAACAAATGCTTGAGGAGGGCAACTCATTCCTACGCTGTTGTCTTTAGAATCCACGTCGAATATGATGACATCGTAGCTCGGATAAATTTCTGAAAACATAAAATACAAATGAGAAAGAAAGGCCAATAAATCCCCCATAAGAACGTTATAGACCTTTCCCGCATTCCAGTAAACAATGGTATCAAGTCGAGGCTTGGGTGGACAAAATAGAGTGATTTGTATGAAATTGTCCACCCGAGCCTCGACCTCATTTCTTTATGCTGGCTCACTGGAGTGGAATGCGGGAAAGGTCTCTTCATCAACATTACTTGGGTATATTGTTCTAAGTGCAGAACCTTTAATTTTCATGATATCCAAACAGGTTGTTGCTATTGACATGAGCCACGACCATTCATAGCGCCTTTTTGGCTTCTCTGGTTTCAATCCCCTCGCCAACTTGCTTTGGCCGTGGCTGCTGAAGCACGCTCACAAGTTTCGGGACGAATGGAACGACAGAGATAAACAGATAATCCGTACAATTCAAATTTAAGAAAACCAATCATAATGAGCCATGTGGCTTGAAGTCGAGGCCAACGTTTCGAAATTTTGTTAAAAATGCTCGCAAGGGAATCGCACGTGAATAGATGAACCCGCAACAGCCTCGAATGCATGCCAGTTTATTATATTAGGCGAAATACGAACAAAAAATAAATACGAAAAATAATCTATGTCGACCGGGAGTAAGGCAGAGGTAAAGGTAGCATACGCAGTTGAGGGTTGGCTTTGGGATGCTGTGAAGAAGACCTCAATCGCGATCGGCGGAGCAACGAAAATGAGCGAGACATCTCGACTTTCCACCAGTTCTCCTCCCCTTCTTCTCATTTCTCAATGAAACTTTCTTTACCGTGTTCCAACTAAACGAAATACCCAAGGGTTTTATTTCGGAAGAATCTGGGCTGCTGCAGCAGCGAAAAGCGTGAAATGAAAGCTGGTTTTATCAATCATAATGAACAAGATGCCGATTCAAATTGTTTGGTACTACATCCGCAGCAGAAGAGGTGAACATTTCACGGCCATCCCGAACCTTGTCAGGTGGCAAAGATGAACTAAAATCAAACCTTTTGACTGAATATACTTCAGACCGTCCTCGATCACAACTTTCATTCGTTCATCCTCTTTGAATTCAAACCACCTTTTGGCAATTTCGGCCACGCAAGGATCCAGCTCAACAACTTCTAAGGAAAGCTATGAAGAGGACAAAAAAAAAATCAGAATAAAAGATGTCAAACACGTGTTAACTGATCAAGCCGCGAACACAGCCCACTGTTCTGTCTCCCAACAGAGATGAAAGTTAGTGACGGCTAGTCTTTTTTTAATCAGTTATTTGACAAATGATCAACGACTAAGTGAAACAGAATCAACGTTTTTAATGACCAAAAAAAGAGCAACTCCCATAAAAACGTTTCATGTTCCTAAAGTTAAAGTAAAAAACCGTCACCAGAGGTCAAGTATACAAACATGAACTACGTGCATAAATGGAACGAATCAAGGCTCAAGAAACTACTTGTCATTATCCAGCATCCATAACGTTGCGAGAACAGCCAACTTTAATTGTGTTCTTTGTTAACTAGTTTCTAACCCAGTTCTAACAGATGCAGTTAATTGTTCACACAAGTCATAATAGTATTCATGGCGCCTGTTATGCAGTTTAGCTAACTGTGATAATTTCCTTTAATCAGACCCCCTTGTCAATTGCGTTCTGATTTCCTGTACGTTTGTTATCCTAGTCATTTTCGCTGCAGCCAGTATATTTTTCTGCTAAATTTGTTAACAATTTTGCCAAGGAAAATGTGACCAATACAATGCAATGGATGTAGGCTAAACTAGCAAAAACGTCAAAGTATTTTAAAATCACCCCAACCAGGCCCTTTCTTTTCCCCGGAAGTAGAAGCTACGCATACATCTGTAACCACAACATCGTGGATTGCTGCTTTATAAAGTGGTGATCATAGTAATAATGTAAAATAACCTGCATACTTTACTGAAATCTCTATCGATTACAGAATAAAAGTTTGAAGGAATAACTAGTCACCTTTGTGAAAAACTGATAAAGAAACATTGCCAGTCCTCCTCCGCCAAGCCCGACTATTAACCCTGTCTTTGTTTCATCTGGGAAAAACAAATGTTCGTAATTAAACTAACTTCATCTTGGTTGTGAAATCCAAACTAAATCTTTAATCGTAAAACCAAAACCACGGTTTTAACTCTTGCCATTCAAAGCAGAATCACGTAACCCAATGATCAGCCTACAGGAATTCGGCACTTAACTCGGGAAAACGGACAAGTGATGAGTTAGTTAAATAAAAAAGGCACTGTATCATTAAGGCTAATCAGGTCGTGTGGTCCTTCGAAATCAAAAGAAATCACGAGATCGGAAAGAGACACAACAGGCAATAGATGAAAAAGGACTTCTGGAAAAGGAGAGCAATTCTAACAATCTAATGCAGTCTGATTACGATGGGCGATTGTTCTGTCGTTTTTCACTCGTTTTACTCTTAAACGGGTCTTTTGCAGAAGGCTTTTATGTCTTTACCTGAGTTGAAAAATTCTTGAATCCAAGCCAGGCCTGTAATAACAACTCTGTGATGCTGGCATGCTAAATATCCATGATCCACTTGGGCCGAAACAACACTACTAACGGGCTGTTTAATCTGCTTTCCTCTCTTCTTCTTTGAAGTGGTTTTATCTGAAGTGGAAGAAAGCTCACATAAGATTTCTACTAAATTTGAAAGGCTAATTACTAAACCACCGTAAACCATGAAATAAATTTGCAGCTACCAGCGTTTCTGCAGAAGGACAAGTACGATGCAAGATGACTAGGACTAAGACGGCATATACGTCACAGTACAGCCCTTGAACGCGTTTTTTAGGTTCGTTAATAAAATAATTAAATATAAATAAAAAATAAAAACAATATTTAAAAAAAAACCACTCATCTTACTCCCCTACATAATTTCTGCACTTACTAAAGGGCCAACCGATTTAGTGTTCAAATGTCAATGCTAGTGAGCAGAAACGGATTTCTAGGACTGAGACCAGATTATCGTCAATGAACAGATCGGAAACATGTACAGTTTCATTTGCTACTCTATTTTTTCTTTCATAATGCAAGTCGTTCCACTAATCGGACTTTTCCACGTTTTCGAAAATTAGCTTAAAAATATGCCCTCGTCGTTATAAACTATCTAGGGATTTGTTACGAGTATCTAAGTGTTGTATTCCCTATGGCACCATCTGTGTCCAGGTGTATGGGATCATCTGCGCCCAAGTGTGTTGGACCAACTGTGCCAAGTATATGGACCATCTGTGCCCAGGTATATGGGACCTAATGTACCCAAGTGTATGGGACCATATGTGCGCAGGTATATGGGACCATCTGATCAATGCAAGGTGGCTCTATGGGGTTTTTCAAAGTCAATACCTCCAAAGTTGGAGTATGAACTACGTCGCCATTAACAAGGATTTGTAAAAATTACCACAAGAGCTGTATTAAATAAAGATGAAAATTTGCTATGATGAGGGTTACAATAACATCATGGCCCGCATTGGGTGAGCGAGAACACTATGGATAGCTACGTTAAGGGCGATTTTAATTCTGCCTAAGTCACGAAGTCTTTAGGAATCTAATTTATGGTTTATTTTTAGTATATTTTATTATTAACCGTGCCCGGCAGGTAGGGAGGGTTCTATTTTCAAAGCCAGGATTTTTCTTCAGTTTCCGTCACAACGAGCAAGGTCGATGCTCGTTGGTACTTCCTGACGTTCAGTTTTCTTTTTTGTTTCGTAGGCTTTTATCATTGTCTGCACACTTGTAGTTGTTGTATTAGTTTACTCAATAAACGTGGGGCCTCTAGCGAGTACGCGTAGCAAATTTGTGTCTGTGTTGTTGACACGCAAGGGTATGGTGGTCTAAAAGGAATTTAGACGAGTGAGCATGTCTCCTTTGCTGCGTTTGTGAAGAAACCTTCAGCCCGCATTACTAATGTTCGCCGAAGAGAAAGACAAATCAGGGGCACCTAACGAGAATATAATTCAAAACCAGTTAAACATAGCATTATTAAACGTTTTCCTATCTCCCTCAAAACGATTCCGATGCATACTAAGAAATGTTTGTCTAACCTGAAATGAGTCTGGCCTCCGACTGTACCACATTTTTGTTACTTAGAAAGATAAGTCTCCGGAATTTCTGCCCGCCATCACCATCGACATCCTCCACAACGTAATCACCACTTAGCTCGGAATATCCTTCATGTAACACTACTCGACTCCCAAGATCTTCCCCAATAGAAAGAAAAGGAACCTGGATGAGATCAAATACGATAAAAAACAAACAAAAGATCACACGACAAAAAATAAATGACAACAAGCAGCAATCACATGTAATAATCCAAAGCATAACCTTTTCTTAAGGAGCTGTAACTTCCGACACGTACCCATTTTAAGAGTTCAAAAGGCAGAAAGTTAACGCCGGAAACGGTAACAAGTTGACTGTCAGCTGATTGACTTTGCCACTCTATTTTCTCTTCACACATCCTGCAACCATGTCGTTTAACTAAAGCATGCATGGCACCTTTGCGACCTTAAACTTTACGAAAAAGGGTAAAGCATACAGGATGCAGTAATCTCTAGTGCAACGCATACAGTTTACCAGAGAGGGTTACATTTAACAAATGGGTAAAGTTTACCTAAAGGGGTAGACTTTGACGATGAGTAAACTAGGTTAAACGGCATAAGTTACCCAACGCAAGAAACACTACTACAATGGGTAAACTTTACCCGACGTGGTGAACATTACCACGATGGGTAAACTTTACCCGCCCTGGTAAACTTTACTAAAATGGGTAAACTTTACCCCGATTCGGTAAACTTTACTACAATGGGTAAACTTTTTCCCAAAGTGGTAAACATTACTAGAATGGGTAAATTTTACTCAACGTCGTAAAATTTACTACAATGGGTAAACTTTTCCCAAAGTGGTAAACTTTACTACAATGGGTAAATTTTACCCAACGTGGTAAAATTTACTACAATGGGTAAACTTTACCCAAAGTGGTAAACTTTACCACAATGGGTAAACTTTACCCAAAGTGGTAAACTTTACTACAATGGGTAGACTTTACCCAACGTGGTAAACTTTACTACAATGGGTAAACTTTACCCAACGTGGTAAACTTTACTACAATGGGTAAACTTTACCCAACGTGGTTAACTTTACGACAATGGGTAAACTTTACCCAACGTGGTAAACTTTACTACAATGGGTAAACTTTACCTTCCGCGGTAAACTTTACTACAAGGGGTAAAGTTTACCCGACGCGGTAAAGTTTACTACAATGGATAAACTTGACCCGCCACGGTAAACTTTACTACAATGGGTAAACTTTATCCCGATTCGGTAACGTTTACTACAATGGTAAACTTTACCCGCCGTAGTAAACTTTACTACAACGGGTAAACTTTACCCAACGTGGTAAACTTTACTACAATGGGTAAACTTCACCCCGATTCGGTAAACGTTTCTACAATAGGTAAACTTTACCCGCCGTGGTAAACTTTACTACAAGGGCTAAAGTTTACCCGACAGGGTAAAGTTTCAGCCTCCTCATCAGGCGCTTCGTTTTTCGCATGGCAGAGGCGAGCGCGAAACGCGAGTGACTGGTGATACACCGCAAGGGACCATGGGAAGGGTACACCCGTTGTCTCCTTCCCGGCTTCCTTTGCGCGCACATCGAAGGGAGACGTCTGGGTACGAGGCAGGTAAAGTTTACTACAATGGGTAAACTTTACCTGCCGCGGTAAACTTTACTACAAGGGGTAAAGTTTACCCGACGCAGTAAAGTTTACTACAGTGGATAAACTTGGACCGCCGCGGTAAACTTTACTACAAGGGGTAAAGTTTACCCGACGCGGTAAAGTTTACTACAATGGGTAAACTTTACCCGACGTGGTAAACTTTACTACAATGGGTAAACTTTACCCGACGTGGTAAACTTTACTACAATGGGTAAACTTTACCCAACGTGGTAAACTCTGCTACAATGGGTAAACTTTACCCAACGTGGTAAACTTTACTACAATGGGTAAACTTTACCCAACGCGGTAAACTTTACTACAATGGGTAAACTTTACCCAACGCGGTAAACTTTACTACAATAGGTAAACTTTACCCAACGTGGTAAACTTTACTACAATGGGTAAACTTTACCCAACTTGGTAAAGTTTACTACAATGGGTGAACTTTACCCGCCGCGGTAAACTTTACTACCATGGGTAACCTTTACCCAACGTGGTAAACTTTACTACAATGGGTAAACTTAACCCCGATTCAGTAAACTTTACTACAATGGGTAAACTTTACCCAACGTGGTAAACTTTACTACAATGGGTAAACTTTACCTTCCGCGGTAAACTTTACTACAATGGGTAAACTTTACCCGACGTGGTAAACTTTACTACAATGGGTAAACTTTACCCAACGCGGGTAAACTTTACTACAATGGGTAAACTTTACCCCAACGTGGTAAACTTTACTACAATGGGTAAACTTTACCCAACGCGGGTAAACTTTACTACAATGGGTAAACTATACCCAACGCGGTAAACTTTACTACAATAGGTAAACTTTACCCAACGTGGTAAACTTTATTACAATGGGTAAACTTTACCCAACTTGGTAAAGTTTACTACAATGGTGAACTTTACCCGCCGCGGTGGGTAAACTTCACCCCGATTCGGTAAACGTTACTACAATAGGTAAACTTTACCCAACGCGGGTACACTTTACTACAATGGGTAAACTATACCCAACGCGGTAAACTTTACTACAATAGGTAAACTTTACCCAACGTGGTAAACTTTACTACAATGGGTAAACTTTACCCAAAGTGGTAAACTTTACTACAATGGGTAAATTTTACCCAACGTGATAAAATTTACTACAATAGGTAAACTTTACCCAAAGTGGTAAACTTTACCACAATGGGTAAACTTTACCCAAAGTGGTAAACTTTTTACAATGGGTAGACTTTACCCAACGTGGTAAACTTTACAACAATGGGTAAACTTTACCCAACTTGGTAAACTTTACTACAATGGGTAAACTTTACCCAACGTGGTTAACTTTACGACAATGGGTAAACTTTACCCAACGTGGTAAACTTTACTACAATGGGTAAACTTTACCTTCCGCGGTAAACTTTACAACAAGGGGTAAAGTTTACCCGACGCGGTAAAGTTTACTACAATGGATAAACTTGACCCGCCACGGTAAACTTTACTACAATGGGTAAACTTTATCCCGATTCGGTAACGTTTACTACAATGGTAAACTTTACCCGCCGTAGTAAACTTTACTACAACGGGTAAACTTTACCCAACGTGGTAAACTTTACTACAATGGGTAAACTTCACCCCGATTCGGTAAACGTTTCTACAATAGGTAAACTTTACCCGCCGTGGTAAACTTTACTACAAGGGCTAAAGTTTACCCGACAGGGTAAAGTTTCAGCCTCCTCATCAGGCGCTTCGTTTTTCGCATGGCAGAGGCGAGCGCGAAACGCGAGTGACTGGTGATAAACCGCAAGGGACCATGGGAAGGGTACACCCGTTGTCTCCTTCCCGCCTTCCTTTGCGCGCACATCGAAGGGAGACGTCTGGGTACGAGGCAGGTAAAGTTTACTACAATGGGTAAACTTTACCTGCCGCGATAAACTTTACTACAAGGGGTAAAGTTTACCCGACGCAGTAAAGTTTACTACAGTGGATAAACTTGGACCGCCGCGGTAAACTTTACTACAAGGGGTAAAGTTTACCCGACGCGGTAAAGTTTACTACAATGGGTAAACTTTACCCGACGTGGTAAACTTTACTACAATGGGTAAACTTTACCCGACGTGGTAAACTTTACTACAATGGGTAAACTTTACCCAACGTGGTAAACTTTGCTACAATGGGTAAACTTTACCCAACGTGGTAAACTTTTACTACAATGGGTAAACTTTACCCAACGCGGTAAACTTTTACTACAATGGGTAAACTTTACCCAACGCGGTAAACTTTACTACAATAGGTAAACTTTACCCAACGTGGTAAACTTTACTACAATGGGTAAACTTTACCCAACTTGGTAAAGTTTACTACAATGGGTGAACTTTACCCGCCGCGGTAAACTTTACTACCATGGGTAACCTTTACCCAACGTGGTAAACTTTACTACAATGGGTAAACTTAACCCCGATTCAGTAAACTTTACTACAATGGGTAAACTTTACCCAACGTGGTAAACTTTACTACAATGGGTAAACTTTACCTTCCGCGGTAAACTTTACTACAATGGGTAAACTTTACCTGACGTGGTAAACTTTACTACAATGGGTAAACTTTACCCAACGCGGGTAAACTTTACTACAATGGGTAAACTTTACCCCAACGTGGTAAACTTTACTACAATGGGTAAACTTTACCCAACGCGGGTAAACTTTACTACAATGGGTAAACTATACCCAACGCGGTAAACTTTACTACAATAGGTAAACTTTACCCAACGTGGTAAACTTTACTACAATGGGTAAACTTTACCCAACTTGGTAAAGTTTACTACAATGGGTGAACTTTACCCGCCGCGGTGGGTAAACTTCACCCCGATTCGGTAAACGTTACTACAATAGGTAAACTTTACCCAACGCGGGTACACTTTACTACAATGGGTAAACTATACCCAACGCGGTAAACTTTACTACAATAGGTAAACTTTACCCAACGTGGTAAACTTTACTACAATGGGTAAACTTTACCCAAAGTGGTAAACTTTACTACAATGGGTAAATTTTACCCAACGTGATAAAATTTACTACAATAGGTAAACTTTACCCAAAGTGGTAAACTTTACCACAATGGGTAAACTTTACCCAAAGTGGTAAACTTTACTACAATGGGTAGACTTTACCCAACGTGGTAAACTTTACAACAATGGGTAAACTTTACCCAACTTGGTAAACTTTACTACAATGGGTAAACTTTACCCAACGTGGTTAACTTTACGACAATGGGTAAACTTTACCCAACGTGGTAAACTTTACTACAATGGGTAAACTTTACCTTCCGCGGTAAACTTTACAACAAGGGGTAAAGTTTACCCGACGCGGTAAAGTTTACTACAATGGATAAACTTGACCCGCCACGGTAAACTTTACTACAATGGGTAAACTTTATCCCGATTCGGTAACGTTTACTACAATGGTAAACTTTACCCGCCGTAGTAAACTTTACTACAACGGGTAAACTTTACCCAACGTGGTAAACTTTACTACAATGGGTAAACTTCACCCCGATTCGGTAAACGTTTCTACAATAGGTAAACTTTACCCGCCGTGGTAAACTTTACTACAAGGGCTAAAGTTTACCCGACAGGGTAAAGTTTCAGCCTCCTCATCAGGCGCCGTTTTTTCGCATGGCAGAGGCGAGCGCCAAAACGCGAGTGACTGGTGATAAACCGCAAGGGACCATGGGAAGGGTACACCCGTTGTCTCCTTCCCGCCTTCCTTTGCGCGCACATCGGCGGGAGACGTCTGGGGTGAGGCAGGTAAAGTTTACTACAATGGGTAAACTTTACCTGCCGCGGTAAACTTTACTACAAGGGGTAAAGTTTACCCGACGCAGTAAAGTTTACTACAGTGGATAAACTTGGACCGCCGCGGTAAACTTTACTACAAGGGGTAAAGTTTACCCGACGCGGTAAAGTTTACTACAATGGGTAAACTTTACCCGACGTGGTAAACTTTACTACAATGGGTAAACTTTACCCGACGTGGTAAACTTTACTACAATGGGTAAACTTTACCCAACGTGGTAAACTCTACTACAATGGGTAAACTTTACCCAACGTGGTAAACTTTACTACAATGGGTAAACTTTACCCAACGCGGTAAACTTTACTACAATGGGTAAACTTTACCCAACGCGGTAAACTTTACTACAATAGGTAAACTTTACCCAACGTGGTAAACTTTACTACAATGGGTAAACTTTACCCAACTTGGTAAAGTTTACTACAATGGGTGAACTTTACCCGCCGCGGTAAACTTTACTACCATGGGTAACCTTTACCCAACGTGGTAAACTTTACTACAATGGGTAAACTTAACCCCGATTCAGTAAAGTTTACTACAATGGGTAAACTTTACCCAACGTGGTAAACTTTACTACAATGGGTAAACTTTACCTTCCGCGGTAAACTTTTTACTACAATGGGTAAACTTTACCCCGACGTGGTAAACTTTACTACAATGGGTAAACTTTACCCAACGCGGGTAAACTTTTACTACAATGGGTAAACTTTACCCAACGTGGTAAACTTTACTACAATGGGTAAACTTTTACCCAACGCGGGTAAACTTTACTACAATGGGTAAACTATACCCAACGCGGTAAACTTTATTACAATAGGTAAACTTTACCCAACGTGGTAAACTTTACTACAATGGGTAAACTTTACCCAACTTGGTAAAGTTTACTACAATGGGTGAACTTTACCCGCCGCGGTGGGTAAACTTCACCCGATTCGGTAAACGTTATTACAATAGGTAAACTTTACCCAACGCGGGTACACTTTACTACAATGGGTAAACTATACCCAACGCGGTAAACTTTTACTACAATAGGTAAACTTTACCCAACGTGGTAAACTTTACTACAATGGGTAAACTTTACCCAACTTGGTAAAGTTTACTACAATGGGTGAACTTTACCCGCCGCGGTAAACTTTACAACCATGGGTAACCTTTACCCAACGTGGTAAACTTTACTACAATGGGTAAACTTAACCCCGATTCGGTAAACTTTACTACAATGGGTAAACTTAACCCCGATTCGGTAAACTTTACTACAATGGGTAAACTTTACCCAACGTGGTAAACTTTACTACAATGGGTAAACTTTACCTTCCGCGGTAAACTTTACTACAAGGGTAAAAAGCTTACCCGACGCGGTAAAGTTTATTACAATGGATAAACTTGACCCGCCGCGGTAAACTTTACTACAATGGGTAAACTTTATCCCGATTCGCTAACGTTTACTTCAATAGGTAAACTTTACCCGCCGTAGTAAACTTCACTACAATGGGTAAAGTTTACCCAACGTGGTAAACTTTACTACAATGGGTAAACTTTACCCCGATTCGGTAAACGTTACTACAATAGGTAAACTTTACCCGCCGTGGTAAACTTTACTACAAGGGCTAAAGTTTACCCGACGCGGTAAAGTTTACTACAATGGGTAAACTTTACCTTCCGCGGTAAACTTGACTACAAGGGGTAAAGTTTACCCGACGCGGTAAACTTGACTACAAGGGGTAAAGTTTACCCGACGCGGTAAAGTTTACTACAATGGGTAAACTTTACTACAAGGGGTAAACGTTCCCCGACGTGGTAAACCGTGCCAATGTCGGTATCTCTGAGAGTGGAGAACGCTAAAGATAGCCACGTTTAGGACGGTTTTATTCTGTCCCATCAGTCACGAAGTGTTTAGGAATCTAATTCATGCTTTATTGGTCTTATTTTTTTTATTGTTTTCTTAACCGTGCCCGGCAGGTGGGGAGGGTTCTATTCACAAGGCCGGGATTTTTCCTCAGTGTTTGCCGCAACGAGTGCGGTGATGTTTTTCATGCAGTGGATGCTTGTTGCTATTCTCTGACGTTCAGTTCTCTTTTTTTGTTTTGTAGGCTATGTACGCACACTTGTAGTTGTTGTATTAGCTTTACTCAATAAACGTGGGGCCTCCAGCGAGCACGCGATAGCAAATTTTGTGTCTGTGTTGTTGTCACGACGCGGTAAACTTTACGCGGTAAACTTTACTACAATGGGTAAAGTTTAACCGACGCGGTAAATTTCACTACAATGGGTAAAGTTAACCCGTAACAGTAAACGTTAGTACTAAAGTTTACTAAAGTTTACTACAATTGGTAAATTTTTACCCAACGTGGTAAACTTTACTTCAACGGGTAAAGTTACCCGACGCAGTAAACTTTAATGGGTAAACTTTAACCTTGCATGTTTGAAGAAACCCTTTGTTTTCGTGGTAAGATATTGTCACTTTAGGTTAATTAATTTGTTACTCTTAAACTACTCAACTGATGCTTTCCGCTTTACCGTTAAAAAATTTTTTTAATTATCGTTTTTCAACTCTATTTACATACAAAGAGAGTATATTGTTCTGCTCAAAGTTTATTTGTTTGTGTTTTTTTCTATTCTTCTTCTTCTTCTTCTCTTTCTTTTCTCTCTCTCTCTTCTTGGCTACCTCCCGGCCATTTCCCTCCTCTCTCCCCTTTTTTTCTTCTCTAGGACTCGACACAGAGGATGTCGGGCAAAGGCTCGGCGCCGGGCTAGAAACATCCTCGCTCAGTTGTGCTTTGCCCCTGACGATTCACAACATTACAGGAGCCTTGGTGTCGATGCATCCTTTTTCTTGCCATACCCGGGTATTCCCATTCTCCTTCACACTCTTTTGTTCCTCTCATACTTCCTTTTTTCCTTTAATGAGAATAAGACAATTTTGTCATAACTTATGACGCTATTACCTATTACTATTAATAGATATTAATTACGAATTACCATCCTGATGTTCTCATCCCCACCCCCTCCTCTATTGTTATCTTAACAGACTACTTTCAACTATGGATAACAACCACTCCACACTCCACTTTTACCATCACCATCTCCGCAACCTCTCCCGTGCATCTATTATCCAACAACGTCTTCAACTTTTTAATTCTATCAACGGCGACGCTTTTTATCCACTTTCTGTTTGGCCACAAGATTTTAAGTTAATTTTTTGGAAAAAACCAATAAGCGACAAGAACACTTTCAAACTGTTTTTATTTTTAATTGGCAATGGCTGTTCACCCCACCTCACTTCACACTGGATCATGACGTCACAACACTGGACCACTGACAGAAAGGCAGAAAAACGTGCCCGCCAGCTAGACTTTCTTCTCAACAACATGGATAACAAATCTCATATCTGGTTTTATTTTGATCTGCACTGTGAAGAATGGCTCTACCTTAACGGACAAAAGAGATCGACTAACAATAATTAACGACTAACCATCTTAAATTCCCTTTCAAAAAATATTTTTTAAAAATTTACAAGTTGTATTCCTTATAATTGTTAATATCTACGAACACAAAAGGACCACTAAAAACTAACCATTTAAATTCTCTTTCAATTACATTTTTGTAATATTTCAAGTTATACTACTTATAATAGTTTCATCATGAAAGTTCCTATCCTGTACATTTCTATTTACCCCGTCCCCCTTTTTTATGGAAGATTACATGTGACTTTTTCCTTTACTTAATTCTAATATTGTATTTCATCCAATATATCGGACTATATTTTAAAGTATTATCCAACATTTTAATTTATTTCACAATTTTCACAACTGTGCAGATGTTGCTATAGTTACCAGAGAAACTACTGAGTCTTTTTCAACTTTTAATGAAAAGAATAATTATTTCCAGAGTCCATAACTCCTTGAGTGTTTTAAGAACGAATATATTTCCATCTAATTTTAACTATTTCAGTGATTCGATAAGTTTTTAAGAACGACTATACACCAACAATTATGTGAAGCTCATGTAGTGTTTTCACTGTATCAGTTAACAAACCATCTGGGTTGTTATAATTTGTTTTCACCAAAGATACAGCTGTACGTTTTCATTTTTGCACAAACATGTTACCATTATTTTTGAAGAAGAAGAAAAAATCACACATTAAAGCTATTGAAGTAATTCCTTTGTTAGTTTTTTCCTTTGTTTAACCCGGATTTATTATTCATTTATTTTATTTTATTTCATTCTATCATTTATTTCATTTCATTTTATTATTAAAAATAATTTTTTTCCTCCTTTTCCTCTTCTCTCCTCTTTATTTTTAACTCTCCAAGAGGTTGACATGACTGCTTTGCAGTTTGCCGGTCCCTCTTTTCCCCTTTCATCTTCCTATCATCCTTCTTATTATTTTTACCTTCTAACCCCTCATCCTCTTATACTTATCCTAACTCTTTTTTGAGGTTGACATAGCTGTTTGACAGTTTGCCAGTCCCTCAATACTTATTCTTTTTATTTTTCAACTTTAATATTTTATTTAATCCTATCGTTATTAAAATTTCAGCAATTATTACTTTCTACTAAATAATTTTTTGCACTTCTTTGAGGTAGACATAGCTGCTCTGCAGTTTGCCCGTCCCTCATTATCAGTGCTAATCTTAACATCTAACTTTTTTGTTCTGTTTTTATACACATAACACCCTTGTATACACACATCCTCCCTCCCCACCTTACCCACTATTTTAGTGGAGACTTGGGAACCCTTTCATTAGGGATTCCATACCACACCTGTAATGCCACAAAGGTTGCTAGATATATCTACTGTCCTCTTTTTTTTTTTTTTTTTTTAGAAAGACTGGTGATAAACCGCAAGGGACCATGGGAAGGGTACACCCGTTGTCTCCTTCCCGCCTTCCTTTGCGCGCACATCGAAGGGAGACGTCTGGGTACGAGGCAGGTAAAGTTTACTACAATGGGTAAACTTTACCTGCCGCGGTAAACTTTACTACAAGGGGTAAAGTTTACCCGACGCAGTAAAGTTTACTACAGTGGATAAACTTGACCGCCGCGGTAAACTTTACTACAAGGGGTAAAGTTTACCCGACGCGGTAAAGTTTACTACAATGGGTAAACTTTACCCGACGTGGTAAACTTTACTACAATGGGTAAACTTTACCCGACGTGGTAAACTTTACTACAATGGGTAAACTTTACCCAACGTGGTAAACTCTACTACAATGGGTAAACTTTACCCAACGTGGTAAACTTTACTACAATGGGTAAACTTTACCCAACGCGGTAAACTTTACTACAATGGGTAAACTTTACCCAACGCGGTAAACTTTACTACAATAGGTAAACTTTACCCAACGTGGTAAACTTTACTACAATGGGTAAACTTTACCCAACTTGGTAAAGTTTACTACAATGGGTGAACTTTACCCGCCGCGGTAAACTTTACTACCATGGGTAACCTTTACCCAACGTGGTAAACTTTACTACAATGGGTAAACTTAACCCCGATTCAGTAAACTTTACTACAATGGGTAAACTTTACCCAACGTGGTAAACTTTACTACAATGGGTAAACTTTACCTTCCGCGGTAAACTTTACTACAATGGGTAACTTTACCCGACGTGGTAAACTTTACTACAATGGGTAAACTTTACCCAACGCGGGTAAACTTTACTACAATGGGTAAACTTTACCCAACGTGGTAAACTTTACTACAATGGGTAAACTTTACCCAACGCGGGTAAACTTTACTACAATGGGTAAACTATACCCAACGCGGTAAACTTTACTACAATAGGTAAACTTTACCCAACGTGGTAAACTTTACTACAATGGGTAAACTTTACCCAACTTGGTAAAGTTTACTACAATGGGTGAACTTTACCCGCCGCGGTGGGTAAACTTCACCCCGATTCGGTAAACGTTACTACAATAGGTAAACTTTACCCAACGCGGGTACACTTTACTACAATGGGTAAACTATACCCAACGCGGTAAACTTTACTACAATAGGTAAACTTTACCCAACGTGGTAAACTTTACTACAATGGGTAAACTTTACCCAACTTGGTAAAGTTTACTACAATGGGTGAACTTTACCCGCCGCGGTAAACTTTACAACCATGGGTAACCTTTACCCAACGTGGTAAACTTTACTACAATGGGTAAACTTAACCCCGATTCGGTAAACTTTACTACAATGGGTAAACTTAACCCCGATTCGGTAAACTTTACTACAATGGGTAAACTTTACCCAACGTGGTAAACTTTACTACAATGGGTAAACTTTACCTTCCGCGGTAAACTTTACTACAAGGGGTAAAGTTTACCCGACGCGGTAAAGTTTACTACAATGGGTAAACTTTACCCGCCGCAGTAAACTTTACTACAATGGGTAAACTTTATCCCGATTCGCTAACGTTTACTTCAATAGGTAAACTTTACCCGCCGTAGTAAACTTTACTACAATGGGTAAAGTTTACCCAACGTGGTAAACTTTACTACAATGGGTAAACTTTACCCCGATTCGGTAAACGTTACTACAATAGGTAAACTTTACCCGCCGTGGTAAACTTTACTACAAGGGCTAAAGTTTACCCGACGCGGTAAAGTTTACTACAATGGGTAAACTTTACCTTCCGCGGTAAACTTGACTACAAGGGGTAAAGTTTACCCGACGCGGTAAACTTGACTACAAGGGGTAAAGTTTACCCGACGCGGTAAAGTTTACTACACTGGGTAAACTTTACTACAAGGGGTAAACGTTCCCCGACGTGGTAAACCGTGCCAATGTCGGTATCTCTGAGAGTGGAGAACGCTAAAGATAGCCACGTTTAGGACGGTTTTTATTCTGTCCCATCAGTCACGAAGTGTTTAGGAATCTAATTCATGCTTTATTGGTCTTATTTTTTTATTGTTTTCTTAACCGTGCCCGGCAGGTGGGGAGGGTTCTATTCACAAGGCCGGGATTTTTCCTCAGTGTTTGCCGCAACGAGTGCGGTGATGTTTTTTCATGCAGTGGATGCTTGTTGCTATTCTCTGACGTTCAGTTCTCTTTTTTGTTTTGTAGGCTATGTACGCACACTTGTAGTTGTTGTATTAGCTTACTCAATAAACGTGGGGCCTCCAGCGAGCACGCGATAGCAAATTTTGTGTCTGTGTTGTTGTCACGACGCGGTAAACTTTACGCGGTAAACTTTACTACAATGGGTAAAGTTTAACCGACGCGGTAAATTTCACTACAATGGGTAAAGTTAACCCGTAACAGTAAACGTTAGTACTAAAGTTTACTAAAGTTTACTACAATTAGTAAATTTTTACCCAACGTGGTAAACTTTACTTCAACGGGTAAAGTTACCCGACGTAGTAAACTTTAATGGGTAAACTTTAACCTACGCAGTAAACTTTACTTAAAGAGGTAAAGTCTCCGAAGGTGGGTTACAATAAAAAAAAAATGCAATAATGCCAGTGAGTTATCTTCTGATGCCGTACACCTTATTCAGGGTACGTTTACACGGTACTGGACGAATTTTCGACCAGTTATAGATTCGAAAACATTGAAAGGGCCCGTGTGAACGACGTGTCCGGTGGAAAATTCGTCCGGTGCCGTGTGAACCTAGCCACAATAATGGTTTAAACTGTAATTTTCCTCGCTTGTTTGTACAATACACTACATTTTTGATGCTTTCTATTGAACGGTCACCTGAGTATTCCGGTTGAGGTTTTTTGGTGCAAGCTCCATGACTTTTGCAGAAAGTTCTTTCTTGATCGTGTCCATGTTGGTGAATGTGTGACCCCTCCCGAGAGTTACTATGACAACCCGAGCAAAACCCGCATCAGTGGCAAGATCTGTTTGTCCTTCTTTAGATGAGAAAAGCCATTCCGTTTCACGGCCTAAAGAGATTAACAAGAATGATACACAGATATAAAGTTAATTTTTCTCCTCACAGTGCGTTTTACGTGCATTGTAAGCAATGCCTATTGACTGTTTTTTGAATTGGGCTCCATGCAAACGGAAGGAGCATAGCCAGGATTTTTCCAAAGGTCTGCACAATTTTCCAAATTCTAATCCCCATATCCGTTACAACAACGTTTTCTGCTTTATACATGAAGTTTGCCACTATTTGCACATTTTCTCCCGCCTTTTCCTTAAATAGATTGGTGCACCAATGAATCAAGCGTCGCTTCCCTGACGACCGACATTTTGGAGTAAAAAAGAAAAAATCTGTTGTTTTCTAAAGAAATATTTAAAAGAAACAAGCAGAGTTAAATAATCTGAAAAAATGTTTTCTTTTTAAATTAACGTGCTTTTTTCAGATAATAAATTCGCTATGATTTTATTTTATTTTAACTTTTTAAGGTACGCACGTGCGTGCCGTGGGTACAGGTAGCTACACCCCTAAAAGGAGCCCAAAATTCACTAATGTTAGAAATTAACTTTTTAAAGGAATTGTAAAGGATATTGTAGCACCTTGAGGCACAATGAAAATCGCAAATTTTCCATTTTTTCCTGATGCCTTTGTTATGTCTACCACTGTCAGTGAGTAACGAGGGATACTTCTTTGTTTTGAACAGCTGCCTGGTGTTAAATACAAGTCCACATTCAGATGTTGTCCTGGATGACATTTTTCTGTGAGATGGAAGGGAAAAAAACAACAACAAATTACACACAGTCAGCATCTTAGAAGAAAACAAGGCAACATTATTGGTGATATAGAACCCCTATAATTTACTCCAGGGCTCAGTTATTCGTAGGCCAATCGCTAACCCAGACCTAAATTCTAGTCCGGCTTTCTGTTTCTTTACCTCTAAAGCGTTTCCTCAAAAAATTGCGACCAGTCCTTTTAGATCGTCCAAACATCAAATTTTAGTTAAATCTAATTTACTGCAATTTGATTTGAATTCTAAGGTCGTGCTAATCCTGGGTTATCATCATCCTGTTTTGAACAACCTGGCACAGAACTGTACGTATTTTTTTATCATGCTGAACAGACTCTTACTACCTGAAGAAAACTGATACAGGTACAATGTAAAATAATATAAATTTTTATGAAGAATGTTGAGAATAAATTGAACCACATATTTACTCTTAAAACACACATTCACTCAGCTCATTATGTACCAACATACAGCGGTTGTATGAGCAAGAGTGCATAGCGTACAGCGGTTGTACGTGCAGGACATACGGGAACTGAACAGTGTGAGCGGGCGTAGAGTGAGTGAGTTGACTTGGTGTCGAACAGAGCAGATGAACGACTAAAGCGTTTGGTTTTATCTGCCTTTGTGGCTGTTAATACTCTACAATTTGTTGTAGGGATTGCCAGTTAAGCAAGGTACCCTTGTTCCTAGAAGCTCGATAACACCTCTCAGCTGTCTGAGTGATAATCTTCCCCAGTGGAAAGCAATGTTTCTAACTCTATTATTTTTCAGTATCAGCATACACACATTCATACATACCAAGTGACCGTTTCATGACAAGGTACTGCTGAATTTCCTGAATAGTTTTCTTGACTTCTGAGAAATCATCAACTCTCTGAATATTATCAAGTCCTTCCAGACAAATTTCTATGATTTTTAAGGAGTGGCCTGATGACCCTAAAGAATAAGAGCAGTATTGAGGTTTATAAGAAGAGTGCTCAGAGAACATGTCAATGATTAATTCTTTAAAATGCTGTATGGACAAACTCGTTCACAAAAAGCTAATAAAAATACAGTAAAAGTGGGCTTAATGGGCTTTCTTTTACAAGGGTAGCTCTTAAAAATTTCTGTGACCTGGCAAATCTGTGGCTTTTGAATATCTAACTGAATAGGAATTTGGAAAATTATGTTGATTTATGAGGAGGAAGCAATACCAGAACACTCAATGAAAAGTCCCCAGGGCAGAGAACAAAGTCAAACCTCCAATGTTATTTACAGAGGTGACAGACAAAGAATTTAGCCTAACTATCATTATGCTAGCTGCACTATCGTCCTCTAGGTCATCTACCATAAACTTCTTCTTAAAAGCCCTGGACTTATATAACTTTCTAAGAGGTCTTAAGAGGGCTTATAAAATATAATGGAAGGGCTTATAACTGGAGTTAAAAAAAGGTTTCAAAACAAGCTGCACAGCAGTGCTGATCAAAATACTGTTTGACTTTACTCACTTTTTTAGGCTTCAAGACCTCATAAAAAGTTGAATTTATTTCAATACAGGTAGATGGGCCTGTAACTGACGAGGCTTAATTAAGCAGAAGTTTACGGTATACTACATGTAACAATATTATTATTGTTATAGTATATAGATGTGACCTGCCATTTCAAATACTTAAGACATTAATGTTGCTAATAATATTGCTATAGCTAGTATTATATAACCTGCCTTGCCCTTATTATACAAGACTGTCCAAAGGCTGACACCAGGGTTGTCACTAAGATTTCATGTTGCTGGGTAAATACAACAAGTAGGCGGGGAATCAAACAGCTAATGATTTCTTTTGGTTCTGTTTTCCTTCTATTTTCCAATGCAACTAGCTGGGGGCCACGTTCATAATAGCAGCTGGGGGAAATCCCTGGCCCTGGCTCTTAATGACAGCCCTGCTCACACACTTGCTATTAGCACTAAAGGCGTAAAAGGCATACTTTTTCTTAAAATTTAGTGAATCAGGCATCTGGATTGAGTTGATTTGATTCAATCTATACTTTAATACAGGGTTGTCATTAAGAGCCGGGGGCCGGGGATTTTCCCCGGCTACTAAGAGAGTGGCCCCCGGCTACTTTTATTGGAAAATAGAAGAAAAATAGAACCAAAAGAAATCCCTAGCCATTTGATTCCCCGCCTACTTCTTGTATTTACCCGGCAACTTGAAATCTTAGTGACAACCCTGTTAATAGCAGGCATTTTATGACTAGGAAATAAAATTAATAAAGCTATATTCATTTAGGAGGCAGCGCGAGTGGTCAGTGTGCCGGACTCGCAATCCAGCGGTCCCAGGTTTAAGTCCTGCTCGGGTGACTTGCTGGATTTGTTCTCAGTTGTCCCAAGTTCAAATCCTCAGCCACGCTTGTAAATAGCCAACTGGTAGCCTCCTGCCAGTTGGGGTTTTTAATCCTGTTATGTTGTATTTGAATTATTTGTGCCTGTAAACTAGCTGGATAAACTAAGTTCACTTTCCACCACAAACAATGGACCTGAATCTGGGACCTATATTTGATATGAAGAATAATTATTATTCACTTCCAAGATATTTTCAATATGTTTGCAACATCCTTACTACTTACAAGGCAGTAGAACAAATGTATTTCAAAACAAAGAGTTCACCAGTTCGTATTTTTCTTTGCAGAGCATTAGAAATCTTACAGACAGTATTTTATCCTAAGCTTTCGTTGTGTGACTTCATTCATCCAATAATTTTTCTGTTATTAGACAAATGAGAAAACTCTTCCAATAAAATTGACAACAAATTATGAACAAATAAACATGGAGAAATACATGTATTTTGAATGAAAATACATGGTAATGTAGTAAATTATATTATTTCAAAATGCATACTGACCTGTAAACTTTGTCTTTGTCAAAACAAAACAAAATAATGGTGGTGGAACTGATCTTTGATCCAATGTGTCAATCTGTAATAAATGCAATCTAAAAAACCATCCTGATGAAAAATAACTAAGCAAAGAGTCCAGAACATCTCCTGTTGCAAATGTGAAACATAAGTACCGGCCTCCAACTTTAAGAAATCTTTGAATCTCAGAAAAATAGTCTGTACAGCAAGATTTAGTTCTTTGATCTGATGGCAAGTCTTTGTAAAGATTGTCCAGTTGTCCTCTGTCAATCACCACATTGAAACTTTCTCCATCAAAGGTATCCTAAAAAAGCAACAGCAATGCAGCATTAAGTGTTTTGTCTGAAACAAAAATGTTGCAAAGTAAATTTGACACTTGTCATGAATAATAATTATTTAAATGCAGTCAGACCTCCTTATCATGGACATCAAAGTGTCAGAGCCAATGATAATTGTCCACATTACAGAAGTGTCAAGTATAATGAGTATTATAGAGGCCTAGTTGGCAAAGATTTTTATCACAAGGACCAACAGAAACACCAGTATTTGACTCATGAGTCTCATGAGATTTACTTCATATAATTATGTTCGATATATTTTTAATAAAGAGTTCAAGTCCCTTGTTTTAATTAAATTAAAGACTACGTTAAACCCTACAAAGATGTTTCTAACAAATCTGAGCACAAAGCTCTTCAGGAAGGGTTTTGGAAACATAAAGGGCTTATCCTTTCCCTAGATAGCTGTAGATGAGAAATGTTCCTTTAAAAATACACCTTTTACAACTTTTTTCTTTCATTTTGTTAGCAACTTTTTTCTTTATTCCTGGCCCACCTAGATGACTGTTGCAACTTGCAATGCCGGGACATTTATGTACCACAACCATGGCAAAGCCAAAGAATTACGGTCTTGTCTTGTCTTGTGGTTTGCAGATTATATTTATTCAATATGATTCCCTAAAATAGATCGATATCCTACATGGGTTTCAGCATGTCACGGGCACACAATCAATATGTACATTATGTTACAGGTCAAAATTATAATTCAGTTAAAATTTTTTAACCTAGGTTAATGAATATTTAGGGTTCGGAAGTCAGCCAAGCGCGGTCATTGCACGCGTGCTGAACAAGAATGCTGTATAATGACAGACTAGAAACAATAGACAACTCCCAAAGCACGAACTCAGCCAAAACGCTAAAAATCTTCAATGTTTACTCAAGTTTGGGCTTATAGAAGATAATGTCACAGTTTTTCAATGACCATGAAATTCAGAGTCCGGGTAGTTAGTTAATCAATTGTGGCCCTGAAAAAATTTGAAGGAAAAAAAACTATGAATTTTTAAGAAAATGCTTTTTTTGTGAGAAGGACTCTTAAACACTGACAAACGTCAACAAATAGCGAAAACTATAATTTCTATATGTTTGCTTTGCTCGAAATCGCGCGCATTTACAAGGCCCTAAAGCGTTTTGCTGACTTGCAAGAACCCATCTGTCATAACAACGCCCAAAATAAAGAGATGAATCTCATAGTTTATTAGATATAATCCGTGTAAAGTTTGCTTATCGTTTTCGTATAAATTATGACCTAAATTTGGAAACCGCTGAATTTCTCGAATTAGGTCTTTGCGATTTTGGTGAAACTCTGTTCAGTGCAAGGCACTAATGCACACTATGTGTAGCCAAGAGATTTTCACAAAAAAATGCCGGCAACAGCAGATTTTCAACTCAGACCTCAAAGGGGCGTGGCATTATAACCACGTGACATTTACTCCGATCGCCAAAAATTTTATGTTATATTGTACATTGATCTATATGTTATCCATTCTATGTGTTAGACTTACGATAAAAGTAAAGGTGGGGATACCAGAGAGCCTCAAAGTAGGATGGTACCCCCAAAAAAAAAAAAAAAACTGGGTCGAGTCACCTTAAAGACCCTGAGTGTTGGTCCAGCCAGGGTTTGAACCCGCGACCTTCCACTCGGCAGACCGGCGCTCTCTCAACTGAGCTAACCGGGCTAACCAGGTAAAGGGTATCAAGTTGTAGGAAGTTACACAGGACGGTATATACCGAGTAATAGCAGGTACAAAAAATGCCCTCAGATCCTCCTCCTTATAAAAATGATCAGTAGCCCTTCAGTCCCGGGGGTGGGGCATTTGCCAATTTTGCGCTGGAATTGACTGATGCACTGCCCACTACCTGCAACCCTTGTCACCCGTGAACTCAAGTGCTGCTGGCTAAGTTAGGCTCTTGTAGGATAATAAGTCAGTCAGTAACAACCTTACTTACTTTTAGGTTAGAGATGTGTCCTACAGCATGACCAATCTCCGGTCGTCTATGCTTGTTTCTTTCCCTTGAACTATAGACGTCACTTTCTGTGTTATCCACCCCCGTGACAGCAACAAATCCAGCATCGTATAAATCTTCAATCAGGGACGAATCCCTTCCTTGATCAGGCGCACATGTGCATCCAGTCCCTAAAATTCTATCGCTCGTCTTGCAGTATTTATGAAGAACACGAGAGAGTTCTTTGTAACCTCCGTAACAAGGTGACCCCACATTTTCATTGAGAAGGTCAACATACTCTTCTGCGAGGGATGTCTTGATAGGATGAGAACGAAAAATGAACGACATACCGTACGTTAATAGTTTCGAACGTACGTTACACATAGTGTATTTTACATGAATGGCCGTACATCAGCTGGAATCTGAACCGAGGGCTCGTCAGTGACGATTGGTGCGGGTAGTACCTGATGTAAGACTGCCCATGGTGCCGAGTTGCTGACTTTGTCAATTTTGTTTTCGCGTCATTATTTCCTGTTTGTCAAGGGAAAGTAAGTCAAAGGACTCGTCCTTCTTATGGCGTCAAAAGTAGTGGTCTCGATAGAATATTGGTAAGTTATTTAAGATCATTAATTCAGTTTTCCTCGTGATTTGACTTCTCCCTCTTTTACATTTGTGAATTCGTATTGTCGACAGATATTGGAAAGGTTCATGACCACCTTTCGTTTTGCATCTCAACTGACTCAACAATTGGAATTGTAATGAAGATTTATTTTGCACAAAAACTTGTTTAGTTTCATTTGTCAAGCCTTTTCACTCACTCAAGTTATTAAAGTCATATATCTCGACAGAATGGATTTCCTATGTAGTATGTTTGTGCTCTGCTCAGGTTACTATTGTGAGTGAAGAAGTGCCATGGTTTGCGCTTTGTTTGAAATTGAAACAAGTTAGGAACATACCAGAGTCCGCTACAAACTGATTTATTTACCAGCTACCATAACAGAAGACAACCAAGATGGCGGACTGACCTATTTTCACAGGAACGCCTGAACACGTGCCCGGATGGCACTTCGTGTACACTAACCTAAGGCATACTCGTTACATCTCCTTTCCTTAGTTTAACAGCAACAAAACAAACAATATGTCTAACGAGAAATACTCTTGATCTATTAAGCAAAGGATCTTTGTAAAAAAGACGACAACAACAACAAAAACAAAAAAACAAAAAAAGATCTGTTCAAAGTAAAGGATCCTTCTAAAGCAAAGTCTTAGTGTCCACATTCGTAATCTTTTAACCAAGCTGGAGGCCGACGCTCACGCACTGGACGACTTGTTGTACATGGTTCAGGAACTTCCGCTGATACAGGCATTGTCGGCAGTGACACATCAGCTGAGCTCGATTCACCAGGTTCAGAAGGCTCTGTAAGGTCTTGGATTGTTACTGTGGGCTCTACTTCCTCAGGGGTTGCTCTGAGCCATTTGCGGTTGCGGCGGTAATGCTTTCCATTCACATCCACCCAAAAGGAACGAGGACCCTCTTCTCCAATGACAC